GATAATTAACATAAATAATTATATCATAGGACATTGATTAAAAACTTTAATTAGTGAGCATATTGTTTAAAATTATCCTTTAATTTTCATGAGCAGTAGCCACTAATAATGCTAAGATGGCCCTGCAGAACTGAATAATGTGCATACAAAAAAGTGTGAATCCTGTAGTACGCATGAAGTTCAAAAAGCGTATACATGAGTGCGATTAGAATGTTTTAGCGCAGAAGTGCCATTTGAGAGAATCTCGTATAATTCTTTGAACTGTTACCCAGAACAATGAAGAGTAAAAAAATACATTTAAGCTTTAATACAGCATCATAGCATATGACATTCCTGACCAAGAACCTTTGACTGTCTGACAGTGACTTTTTATACCGCCTGTATTTCTGAACTTTTAATATCTCTTCTATTCTCTGTTATCAAGAAACAAATTTCACTTTTGTTGTCTTTGTAAAATCTGTACAATGTCTGACCATGTAAAATCTTTACAGTGAAAAAGACTCTTAGCACTCCCTAGCATCCACACAGCTGGATGGTGTGACTGACAAATTTAATTAAACAAGCATTAATCATTTTTTAATATTCGTATCCTGAAATCCGCTGGGCTGAGACCAAAATTTGCCTTTCTCCTGCTATCGTATAGGTGTGAAATTCATGAGACTATCGGTTTTTTCTGCTTTTTGTTCCATTTCCGGTTGACTATCGGATGCACTTGTTTTACATTATAAAGCCCAAGTGACTAGGAGGGACTTTTAAAGAATATTCATTGGTGTATAACATGGTAACTCAAAGGATAAGGGAGAAAAATGGCACTAAAGTGGTGAGACAGGAAATTCTAGGAAGGAAATCAACTGTGGTTATTGGAAAACTCTATCCATGTGATCAAGATGCTGAAGGACATGGTGTAGAACATACAAAGAATTCCTTCTTTGGAGCCTAAGTATTTTGCTGCAATAACTTTCTTCTTATTTTCATAACAAGGAAGAACTCTAATTTTGAAGATTGTTATGTTCTACATTAATTTCATCAGGAGTGAGCAATGTTGTAAATTTTATGTAAATCTGGATTTTATTGTATAATAGTGTTTGTCTTATATTTTGTATTTGTTTTTATTTATTTCATGCTTTTACATTTACATTCATAAGTTTTACATTTATTCAGTGTGTTTTTTGTGTAATTTTTAATTTAGAATTATATTTGTATATATATTTGTATGTATTTAAATGTTTTAGTCTAAATACATGTGAATTGATAGAAGAGCTTATGGAGTAGCTGGAATTTAATGCTGATGAAATTTATCGGGCTTTGGCACCAGATTTCTTCCTGTATTTTGGCGATGCAAAAACTATTCTCTAATTTGGTGACATTTTGAAAACTTTACAAATCCTCATTTTTAGACCTTAGGACCGATTTCTTTTGAAGGTTTTGGTTGTGTCAGCCCACATTGCTGGCTTTGGTATAAATGAGAGGTTGCAAGAAGAAAATTTGTGCTGTGTAAACGATATAATGTTTACAACTTATTTATGCTATGTAAGCAATATAGTGTTTGCAACTTTGAAGTTGTGGTTATTTGATTGTGGTGGTCCTTCACTTAAAACCGATGAGATAATGTTTTTTCTTTGTGTTAAAAAGAATTAAGACTATTAGCCCGGCGGAAGTCGCACCAAGAAAAGTTACTAGAGTGAGCGCGTGGGGTATCACATACCCCAATATTTAAAATACAATAAAAATAGTATTATTTAGTTTTAAAACTGTTTTTTTTTCTTGTGTATTATAAATAAGTGAATAATAATTGGGTTTCAAAAAATTAATTTCCGAAGTAATCTTAGAGTTAAAATTAAGATAAATGAAAATAATAAACATCATGCCTCTAAGTTTCATTGCATCTCTAATACACCATGCTTATTTTATTTCTTCACACTTTGAACGAAATACATTCATGTGTTCTTGGCACAGAATGTTTTCACATTTTAAACATTGCATTCACGTTCTTCTGTCCTTGGCACGAGGGCAAAAAATTTAACACATCTTTCATACGTAGTTGTTTCGAATTTCATGTATTCGTTTTAATTCTTCATCGAAACTTCTGCTTTTGTTTTGCATGCAGTACGTCAATTTCTTGGAAAAGTATTAATCTCTGATCTTTGTTCAATACTTTTTTTCATTAATTGTAATGCTAAGTCCTTCAAAAACAGACTTCTGTTTCTTGTTGGTAGATTAGCAGTTGAATGTAATATAATTCAAGCATTTATTACAGCAACATTCAGTGCAGGAAAGAAAATTACCATTAGCCACCTTCTTGTTATTCTGGCAACTGAATAATTGGCTGACATTTCATCCCCCATATACACTGCTCCTTTAGTCATATTATTAAAACATATAATTCCTGACGTTTTATTTTCTCCAATAGTATCAGCTATAGTATGATCGTTATATAATGTTGAAAGCATAAGAACAGTTTTTTCCTTTTTTAGGAACATCAGGAATTAAGTTTTATCTTTTTTCGAAAACCAAAACATTGTAGAAATATTTCTTAGTTTCATCTTCAGTTTCCGAAATGCAATCTTCATCGCTTTCAAATATTTCTAATAAATCTCGCATGCGTTGCATCCCCAGTTCATAGGGACTCATTCTTTTTACCATAATGCAGTTAGAAATTTTTAAGAATTTAATGTCAAGAACTTTAATATTACTTGTGAGTAGAAATATTTACTGTTACACTCTAGAAATAAATTTCTGAACTAAATATTCAGTCAGAAAAACACCTACACGGACAGGCGCGTGGTGTGTGTCATACCCCAGTTATTAACAAAATACCGATAATTTTTTTTCTGAAACACACAAGCAAAGAAAAAGTGGTTCTGAAAGTCAACTACAACTAGAAACTCAGCTACTGAAAGCAGCAGAGAATTTCAGTTTCACAAGTTAGGAATATTCCACTTTTATGTAGGGTTGGGGTATGATACAACCCACGCGCCTTCCCGTGTATCCTTTCTACCTTAACCTAATTTTACTTGATACCTTCTTTTGTATAAATTGCTATTGTTTGATGTTGCAATCAAAAGTTCAAGTTTGCATGTTCATCTGTATTATAGTTAAGTCTTTATGAATCTTCAAATCTAATAATGCGGTTTCTAAATTATTTCTTTAAAATTTCTGAGAAATGATTTTTTTTCCCCACATAATGCTCAAAGAAAGGAAATTCAGCTGGAAAGTATTAAAATGTGGATGGTGTACAATCAGTATGCTACATATGTTACTGTATATGTTATGTATTTTAAAGGGGAATGCTTAAGAAAAGGAATAAACTAAATAGTTATGACACTGAAATTGTGTTAAGAAATTTTTAATGATTGCAAATTTATTCCTAGTGTAGATCTTCCTCATTTTAATTAATATGACTTCCAAAAATTCACTGTGGGAATTCAGTCATTAATTAACATCTGGTATATTAATGTGGCTCACAACTGGCCGAGCGGGCAAGTTGCTGAACACTGGTAGTTCAGTCCCAGGTTCGAATCCCATGAATGGGCTGGCTGCATGAGTGTTTTCACCATGTGTAACATATATACAAGCCAGTTTCCCTTAGAACATCCTCCATTAAAGGATCATTTCCTTTAGATGGATAGCTCTTGATGCTTTCCTGTAATCCCATAAACCAAATAAAAAAAAAACCAGTTCATAATAATGCAACCACATAGGCACTATTTTGCAATTTTTTACAGATGAAAAGCTAAAAGTTACTTATCATGTACAAGTTGGTGGTTTTCATGCCTTTTCCTTTGATAAAGTTTCCCAAACTATTGATACTTATCATAATTGGGCAAACATTATTAACATGTTAGCAATTTAAAATACCAGTTTGAATTATTAAATAAAGAAGATTATGTGATATATTAAAAAATAAAACACATTCTTCTTCAGATCTTTCTGTAACTTTTTTACATATTTTTCTCCTGCAGTACACAGTGATCTGTTTTCACTTTAAAAAAAAAATCAGAGATTTATAGGGGCTTGGTCTAATCCTCGGCAGCAGCGGCTGTCGAGGAAACACATTTTCTCATTGTCCTCTTAAGAAAAGTTTCAGTAAAATTCTGTATTCCTGCAAAAATTGTATTGCAATTTCTTCCATTGCTAGCAAATTACTCAAGCTCCTGTTTTAACACTAAGGCAAGAAATATCGCGATTTGTGTATAATAACTCTGGGAACTTTGAATACAACAAAAAAGAAGACGTACGAAAATAGTGGTGTTGCTTGACTGGGGGATTATTATGAGCATAGTTGCTGGAAGAATGGTTATGCACGTGGTTGCCAGAGTTCAGCACATTCTAAAAATTTGGCAACTTTTACTAGGGGGGTTGTGTTAATATGTAAGTACTTAATACCTGTGTATACATTTTTATATCCTTATTTCCGTTGCTATGTTTAAAAATTTTTGTATGACATTATCATAATAATGAAGAAGTTGATGCTTAAGCAAGAGGAAATATAGTTAGATACATAACTTTATCTAACTATATTTTATCTAACTTTATTGTCTAATAAGTACAGAGATTATGCCTTGCTTAGTAAGTAGGTATAAAAAACTAAACTAAATGGTGCAACAGCCCTTTGTGAGCCATAGCCTGCAGTGCCCTGATACCTGCTTTCTTGATTGTGGGCCCGGGGTGAATGGGTGTATGCCCTGATCAGCTTGTTGCAGGACCTCCTGTGTTTAGTCTCCAAGGTAACTTGGTACTAAGTTTCTCGACCTCAAGGTCTGAGTCAACCTTGCTCAGTCTGTTGATCGAACCGCAGACCTGTGATGCTGCTGCAGGATGTGCTAGCTATTGTAATATTCATATTTATTTGTCATTTTATAACATTTGATATAATTCACATTACATTTAGTGTTGTGATTATAAATTGCTAATTTGTATCTTTCATATTTTATTCATAATTGATTATAAAGCTTTCAACATGTATGTTTCTAATTTATTTTCCTTCATATTCATTACAGTTGATTTTGGTGTAAGTGCTCAGTTGGATCGGACTATCGGAAGGCGAAATACTTTCATAGGAACGCCTTATTGGTAAGTTTCTGATTGAAGATTATCTTCAGAAGTCTTAACTTTAGTTGTCTTTGAAGTTTTTCTTCAAAAGTTTCTTATTTCTCAGTTGTCTAGTGACATTCATGGAAAAGCTTTCTGTAAGTATATAAACTGTACCTTCATTAAATATTCCATGAACTTCATTTAAACAAATAGTTTTTATGAACATATAAATTAAATTATGAGAAGTGGCACAAAATAAATTACCTTCTTTGACTTTATCTTATAAAAAGTGACCTACTTCAATATGTTTTCTTCTCTATTAAAAAATCCAGTATAATTACACTTTGATTATCAATAAGTAAATAAGTTATGACAGTTTTACTGATCTTCAACGAAATTTTCTAAATGTAAAAGTTCGTGCTATGTACCTTCTGGCAACTATTGATCATTTTCATGTGCATCAACTTGCAGGGCTTTCTACATGTGGAATCATGCATCCAGTAGTGTTTCTGCACATTTCTGTCTCATTTGCATCATCTGCATCAAAAAAACCTTTTTTTTCTTCTGTTTAATTAAAGCATTTCGTTGAGCATGCATGATCGAAATAGAAATCTGTAGTGCCTTTTAGGTATATAAAAGACTTTTTTTCATTTGCAGTACCTTTTACATTTTCATTATTTACATATCTGCTTTCAAATGTAACTGCAGATCTAAAATCTGAACAAATTTTATTAAATGGACGAAGTTTACAAATTGCTTCTTTGTAAGATTGTTTGATTTCCCCCTTTCATTAGGGACTTTTGTTTTACTCCAATGGAGTCATTGTCTATTTTTATTCTATTATTCCAAATTTCTGAATATCTCATTAACGTTCTGATTATTCACCTTTCATTAGGTACTATTGTTTTACTCCCATTGAAGTTATTGTTTCTTTTTATTCAGTTATTCCAAATTTCTCAAGAATATATCATGAATGTCCTGATTATTTTGATGTTGGTCTCGGATATTTCTGCTTTCATTCTCAAAAAGCTACTTAGATGCTCTGCCACCTTTACTTTAAAAATTTTTCTAAATTTCTTTACAGTCAAAAGTCGTTAATCCGGACTCGTCGGGACTTCCGCGATTCCGGATTATTGATTTTTCTGGATTATAGATCATCAGTTTAAATCTGGTAAGATGGCATGCAGAAATTACAAAATTAAAAATATGAAACCGTAATTTATGAAATAAAGAACAATTATGATCTAAAGGGTATCAAAATTTACAAAAAGAAAAAGCTTAATATTTATTTGTTTACTTTATTAAACATTTCTTTCAATGTAAGTTGGTTTAAGTTGCTTCGTTTCATGTAAATTCGTTCATGTACTTTCTCTTTAATTCTATTAAACAGACATAATTTCTCGCTTAGTTACAAAATTCCGCTGTTCAAGTCCTATAATTGCTGTGTGGAGAATACCAACTAATTTGTCAATCAAAATTTTTCGTTTTCAATAACCTCTGGGTCATTTCTTCACTATCAGAAGCAAATTATAATGACGAGGAACTTGATTTAAATCGTATCAAAGACAGAGTACATCGAGATGAAATATTACATTTAGTAAGGAATTATAAGCCAAATAAAATAAAAACATCTGCCCTGAAGATAAGGATAGTGCTGACAGATCAACTTCCAATTCATTGCGCGCCGCGGAGTGAAATTGATAAACAGATTTCGGATTTCAAAACATACTTTCGCTTTGTAGATCCTTTACATATTAGTTAATATATATCGGAAATTCTATTTGACATAATCGAAAGTTCAAGCTTCATCTTTTATAAAATTTCTCTAACAGTCTGCAAAAAATAATAAGCTGGATCCAATTTGAAGATTAAGGAACAACGGAATCTGCAACATTAACTGAATTAGATAATTTTAGCTTAGCTTATACCATCCGTTACACATTAAACGTGCATGTGCACACGCATATTCACAGCCGTAAAGGTCTTACGCGCACTTGTAAATGCCTGTGCTCATGCGTGAACGCGACGCATGCGCAGAAAGTTTGTAGCTTTGAGGTCCGGATTATAGATCATTCCAGATTATGGGTGTCCGAATTAACGACTTTTGACTGTATATTTTTCCCATTCAAACTACCATCATGAAAAAATATTCTGTTGTTTCTTATATATCTGTTTGGAGAAAATCTCAATCAGGTCCATGAATTTCATCCTGTCCAAGAGATAATAAGCACCTGCCATTTTGGCCAAGGCTACTGAGCACTTTAACCAAGGGTCTCCTATCCCCTTTCCCTACCACCCCCTCTCTTGAGGACTTTGGGCTTGACAATATGTTAAGTATACCCTTGTTGAAAAGATACTATACACTTACAAATAAGCAAGAATGAAAATAAACAAGAATAAAAAATTCGAACACAACCTTAAGGTTGTGGCAGCTGGCTTCTCTACCAGCATGCTAAGACGGCAACTGTAATCCTGTAATTTTATATGGGAACTAACAGTGAAGATCTCTCAACATCAAGCTTCTGAACTCATTGAAATCCAGACCCTTCACTAAACTGTGTCCTCAAAATACCGAACCGCCCAAAATACTTTTCCAGTTTCACAGCAATTTCCTCCCCTCCCCGGTCATTAATGCAGAAAATAGGTGTGAAGATTTCGAATGACATCCTTTCTACTTTCTAACAAAGATTCCATTAGCCTTTGACTCCATTCTTTATAAACCTATTCTGAAGTTCAGACCAACAAGCCTTTCTGTCTTTGTTATGATCACAACTGAAATTTTATTTACTTCTGTTATTTTTATAGAAAGGAATAAATTGATTAAAAATAAATATAATCCTTAAATTTTTAAACTGCACTTTTATTGCTGTTTAAAGCTTAAAAGCACATTGTGCCAAAAAAGAATCAACAACGAAATGTCACGAGCAACCAAAAGATATGAAACCTCTTAGGACAAGCTGTCTGCAGTAAACTGATACATTGCATTTGGGGAAACTGCAACTGCTACTGCATACCTTAGGGGGAGGGAAGAAAACAAGATTACAATCTCGGCCGTTTCCTGGCAGTTCTGGTTGTTTCAGTGTAGTTTTTTATTTTGCATATTTGATTGTAATTCTCTGCAATCCATTTGCCAGCTCACAGGTATGTTTGATTGCAACTGAAAATATAGAAACAAATATAATGAATTGACACTGGTTTTTCCTGAAATTGGGAAATATATTCTCCAATTTTTTGGGCAGAATATCAATCAGTGCTAAAAGTCTTCATATTTTGTACTCTTTCTTTTTTTTGGGGGGGGGAGGGTCTTCATATTTTCAATGTTCTGATAGGTTTGATTTTGAAGACTTTTTTTGTTTTCTGTTCATTAAAATAAGTCCTATCAACTAAAAATCCTCTAAATACTTCTCCACGTTACCCTTTGTGTATATAATGCATGCTGCATCAATGGGGTATGTATGCCACGAGTTGAGCGCACCTGCTGTAAGGTTTCGTTAAATATGTTTTTCTCAAAATTGTAGGAAAAGTACTTTATTTTCATGGTATCAAAGCACAGAAAACACACTGGAAGGATAACTGAACATACATATGTTATCAAGCTATTAACTTGCACTGAAGAGACAAAACATTTATTGACACGTTGTTTTATTGACCACCGAGTCAATAACACATCGTGCAGAACCTTTGGCCTACAAAACAGTTGGAGCTCACCTTAAAATGGATGCGGCAAGTTCTTGGTAGATAACTGGAAACAGGCTGTGTCTGTAGCATCTGATTTCGAGAGTATCAGTAGTCTTATACCTGAGAACCTCTGTGAACGAGAGTAGAGGAGAATGTTATGTAACTGCGTAAAGGGCACATCGCTGCTGTCTTATGAGTTAGTTAGAAATAAATGTGTTGTGCCGTGAACTAGTCTGTTTTGGTTGCGTCATGCACTTCACTGAACCCACACCGCTAGACACAACAAGTTGGCGAAGGCTGTGTGAGAAGAAAATCGTTCCCGACTCGGCGCACTCGGTTACATGCGTAAGTAGTAGCAAAACCGAAACTTGGATTAGGGGATTCCCCGAAAACTGCAAAAGGTAGGAAAGTTATTTGATTTTTATTTTGAAAGGATGGAGAAGTTAATTGAAGAATTAATAAAGCAGAATGAAGCTTTAATGGTCGCATTGCAAGAGAAAAAGACAAAATTTCTGTTTCTTTTGATAAGTTCGATGAAACGGTAGAAAATTTTGATTCGTTCATAGAACGATTTGAGGCTTTTTTGGACATTCAAAATGTTCCAGAGGCAAAACGTGGGAAAGTTCTGATCTCAAGCTTGAATGCGAAATTGTATAATTTGTTGAAAAATTTTACTCTCTCCGGATAATCCTTCAGATAAAAATTTTTACCGAACTAAAAAAGGTTCTTAAGGATCATTTAAATCCTAAAGCTTTAATAAATACCTAGTCGGCACATGTTTATTAATAGAAAACAGCATGAGGGGGAATCAATTAGTAGTTATGTCACTGAATTACGCTCGTTAGCGATTCCTTGTGAATATAAAGAGGATATGCTAAATACAATGTTAAGGGATGTTTTCGTTAGCGGTCTACGAGATCGTAATATCTTAGATCGATTATTTCAGGAAGATGATATCGATTTAGAGAAAACATTAAAGATAGCCTTGGCGATGGAAAAGGCGGTTAAGGGTGCAAATGAGATTATAGGAAATTCCGTAGAACTGTAAGTACTTAAAACCCAGAAAAATGAGTCCAAACCGCGGAAACAAAACTTTTTTGCTAAGAATAATGAAGGTAAAAATGAAACTTGTCGACGTTGCTTAGGAGCAAATCACAATAAAATAACTGTAGATTTGCAACAAGTGAATGCCGCTTTTGTAAAAAAATTGGACATATCGAAAGGGCGTGTTATTTGTCTATGAAAAACCGACAGGTTAAACAAAAGAAAGTTGAGGCAAATAATGATTATGATTCGAAAAATGAGGTCCCCATCTATGGATTTAACTCCAGAACGCACATGTTAAGAGAGGAAGAGCCGAAAAGACCGCCAATAATGGTTCAAGTTAAAATTGAAAACAAACCAGTTAGCATGGAACTTGATACTGGGGGAACAGTTTCGGTAATGTCTATAAATAAATTTAGAAAAATTTCCAATAAAAAGATTCAGCCTACAAATTTAGTTTTTAAAACTTACAGGGGTGATAAGGTGGTACCTTTAGGATATGTTCCTGTTAAAGTTGAATACCAAGGTCAAAAATTAGTTTTAAATTCTATACATTGTGAAGGAAAATTTGGACACAATCTTCGGCCGAGAATGGCTGTATAAAATCAATCTCGATTGGAATGCCATCAAAACATTGAAAACTTCTAGTGAATTGAATTTAAAAAAATTGCTTGAGGAGTATAAGGAAATTTTTGACGGTAAATTAGGTGAAATTAACAATCACGAAGTAAAACTAAATTTGAAACCTAATACTCAACCAATATTTTGTAGGTCACGACCGGTACCTTTCGCATTAAAAAATAGAGTTGAATCAGAAATTGATCGGCTTGAGAAAGAAGGTATCATTGAGAGGGTTGAGACTTCAGAATGGGCAACACCAGTTGTGCCAATTGTTAAATCTGATGGTTCCATTAGGCTTTGTGCTGATTATTCTGTGACTCTGAATCCTAATTTGGGAAGTGCCACAGCATCCATTACCAAAACTCGAAGAAATATTTTCATGCCTTAATGGAGGTAAAAATTTTTCGAAACTTGATTTCAGTCATGCTTATCTACAAATGAAGGTGCATCCGGAGAGCCAACGGATTATTAACAATAAACACGCATAAGGGGTTGTATATTTGTAAACGCTTAATGTATGGATTAAATGCTGCCCAGCTATTTGGCGCTATGTTGAGGGATTATTTCAGGGGATCGAAGGAATTAAAATTTTTATGGATGATGCTCGAGTGACAGGACCGGATGATCAGTCTCATTTAAAAGCATTGGAAATATTTTTCAAAAAATGCAAGGAGCACGGCCTAAAATTAAACTTAACTAAAAATAAATTTTTTCAAAATGAGATTAAATTTTTAGGACATAAAATTGATGCCGATGGATTTGCATAAAACGGATGAAAACATTTCGGCAATTGCTAATGCCCCTACGCCGAAAGGCGTCCAAGACATCAAAAGCTTTTTGGGATTAGTGAATTTTTATGCCAAATTTTGCCCTAATTTGGCAACTTTGGCATATCCCTTAAATAATTTAACAAAAAAAGATGTTAAATGGAAGTTGGTCAAAAAACTGCCAAATCGCTTTTGAAAAAATAAAAAAGGAAATTTGTTCAGACAGAGTTTTAATGCATTACGAATCCCACATTACCGTTAATGCTAGCTACTGATGCATCTCCGGTAGGTCTTGGGGCAGTGCTCTCGCATGTTTTGTCTGATGGAACAGAAAGGCCTATAGCATTCGCATCGAGGACACTGACTAACACAGAGCAGAAATACGCCCAAATCGATAAAGAAGCACTGTCAATTGTTTGGGCTGTCAAAAAGTTTTATCTATATCTAAAGGGGAAGACGATTTTTCTCTGGTGACAGATCATAAACCTTTAGTGGCTATTTTCAAATCGAAAAGAGGACTTCCTATCCTCACAGCCACCCGACTTTTACATTATGCACTGATATTGCAGCATATCAGTTTGATATTGCGTATTCGAAATATCAAGGAACACGGTAATGCTGACTGCCTGTCGCGCCTGCCTCTTAAGTCCGAAGATTTATGCATTTAAGGATGATGTTGAAATATTCCAACTCTCCCAAATTGAAACTCTTTCGGTAACAGCTGGGAAGATAGCTCGGGAAACGCGAGCTGACGAAGAATTAAATAGTCTTTATATGAAATTAAAATCTGTAGAAAGTTTGGAACGTAGGGAAGCAGAGTACACCTTACAACGATGACTGTATAATGAGTGGTCAGAGGGTAGTTGTTCCGAAAAAACTCCGAGTTAAAATTCTCGAAGAGTTACACTAAGGTCATTTAGGAATCGTTAAAATGAAGGCAATCGCCATATTTTACGTCTTTTGGAAGGGAATTGATCATGATATTGAAGACGTTTCGAGAAACTGTGTCGATTATATTATGTTCAAATCAGATCCAGTAAGGGCAAGGGTCCATCACTGGGAATATCCAAGTGCGCCTTGGAAACGCATTCACGTAGATTTTGCAGGCCATATTTTTGAACGAATGTTCTTGATTATCATTGACGCACATTCTAAATGGCTCGAAGTGTATACCTTAAAGTCAACAAATTCCTTTCAGACAATTGAATGTTTGAGAGACTGTTTTGCAAGATACGGACTGCCTTTAGTAGTAGTGAGTGACAATGGTCCTCAGTTCACATCGGGGAATTTGAAACTTTTATAAGGAATACTGGAATTAAACACAAAACGTGTGCTCCATTTAAACCAGCAAGTAACGGGCGAGCAGAGCGGTACGTTTACACCGTTAAACAAGCATTACGTACAATGCAAGGTTATCCAAGAAATATTAAGCAAAAACTTGCCATATTCCTCATGAATTATAGAAAGGCACCAAGGTTGCCGAACATGGCAACCTTGTCAAGTCCAGCAATGTTATTCTTAAAAAGAGAAATTAGAACTCGAATTGATTTAGTTGTTCCAAATCTTAGACGAAGAGTGGAAGAACGCATCCGAAGGAATAATTATGATCTCTAAGCCAGAAATTTTGAGATCGGAGAAAAGGTTGCCATTCGGGATTATAGATCGGCAAATTCCCGATCGAAAATTGGCAGAGTGACAAACAAGGATGGAGCGCTGCATTATATAATTGACGTTCAAGGAACTTTACTGCGCCGGCACGTCGATCAGATCAGATCGGTAGGGAGCGAGGTTCCATCTGCACCGGTAATCTATGAGCCTCGTATGGCTACTACTTCAGATGGCAACGTGAAGCCACAGGCTCCGGACAAGGACATCGAACAAAGCTGTGCACACTTAAGCCGGAGTTGAAACATCGTCATTTCCAAGGAAAACTGAGCCAGTCATTCCAGTGAATTCTGATAAAGAGTTGCAGCAACCCCAGCCAGAACTTACACGATCTTCGCGCATCCGCAAAGCTCCTCGGAGATTAAATCTGTAAATAAGTGGGGAGGGATGTAGCATCTAATTTCGAGAGTATCATTACTCTTATATGCCTGAGAACCTCTGTGAACGAGAGTAGAGAAGAATGTGTAATAACTGCGTAAATGGTGCATCACTGCTGTCTTATGAGTTAGTTAGAAATAAATGTATTGTGCCGTGAACTAGTCTGTTTGGTTGCATCATGCACTTCACTGAACCCACACCGCAAGACACAACAGTACCAAATGTCTGACCAGTAGTCATGCAAAGTTGAGATATTTGGCAGTGTTTGAGCTCAGCTGTCTCCATGACATCCTGAATGGGCTCTATTGGGATAAGATTCAGCGAGTTAGGTGGCCAGGCTATTAATTGGAATTCATCCTTATGCTCCTCGAACCACTCCAACACAGTTCGAGCCTTATGAAGTGTTGTCCTGCTGGAGGGTTCCTTTTTCAGTTGGGAAGAATATTGTTGCAAGTGATCCACATTTATGTTCAGATAGTTCGCAGTTTTCATGGCCTGTTCTAGTGAAACTAAGTGTCCCAGTGCCACATATGAGAATATCCCTCAAAGCATAATACTGCCACCATCAGCCTGTGTAGGACCTGCTGTACAGGGGGAAGAAACTGTTCATCTGGAAGACAGTGTACCCTGACACAACCATCGACATGATGAATAAGAAATCATGATTCATCCGACCAGGCAACATGCTTTGACTTATCCATGATTCCGACTCGATGTTCCCGGACTCTTTGTTGCCATAGTTGTCGATGATGCTTGACCAACAGAGGCACACGAGTGGGATGCCTACAGCACAGTTCCATATCCAACAGTATCTGATGAACTGTGTGTTCAAAAACACTTGCACTTGAACCAGCATTGTATTTCGCTGTCAGGTGAGCCCAGTCTAGTGCTGATTTTGCTATACCATGCAGATTTCCGACGTCCATTTTCTTTGATGATGTATGGGTGTCCAATACCTTGGCATATTATTGATGGTTTAACCATCATTTATCCACTTTGTATAAATACTAACAACAGTAGATCATGAACACCTACCAGTGGTGTAGTTTCAGAGAAACTCGTTCTAAGTCTTCGTGCCATTACAATATGCCCTCTATCAAATTTAGATCAGCAGCCTCTGCCATCACTTGAAAAAGTAAGTGCAAGAATGATTCCTTATCTTCTCCTACAGCAATTAAAGACCATTCCTGCTTAATCATGTGTCCTTTATGTTATCTAAATGATTTCATTGAAAAATGTGGGGATGGTAAGAATGGTGCCGCTCATCGTGTATGTTTAATATTTATTTAAAGTCTAATTAATCACCCAGCCTTGTATTTAATCCATGTATATATATATCTTGTATCATATTTTTCAAATTTTAAGCCTTAATATTTTGGTTGACTTGAATATTTTTGCAGGATGGCCCCAGAGGTAATTGCCTGTGATGAAAATCCTGATGCAACATATGATAATAGGGTCAGTTTTATTTAAAAATAAAATATTTGCTCTTTTGTTTTTGTGTAAGTAATTAAGGTTTTTCACCACAAATTTGAGAAAAGTGTTGTGAAAAAATTAATCTAAGAACAGTAAAAATATTTAAATTAGTTTTTTTATTCTATTTTTAATTATAAATCTATTTCTGTAGGAAATTGTTTTTTTAAGTAATAGTGTACTGCTATTGTATACTAGTTGCTAAGATATAATGTCTAGATTTTAATAGATCTGATTATTTCCCCCCTCAGTGATTCTGTGAAATGAATACCATTAACTCATTTATTGTAGCTGTCGTTCCTTACTATGTTTTAAGTGATTTTACTTTTAGTGTGGAAGACGTTTTTTCTAACCCTCTATAAATTGAATCCATCTTGGCACTGACAATATGTTTTTATTGGTTTATTGCTCTATTGATATGAAACATGAACATGCTGAATGTATGCAGCAATGTTACCTACAATTAGAATATTTGAAAATAATTCCTGAACTTCTCTTGCTGCTTATGTGTAATGGAATCATCTGTGATGTCACTTTTCCAAAATTTGAATATGTATCAGTTTTTTTGCTAAAAATCTAATCAATCTAAAAATCACTATAAACTTCCTGATGTAATAATTCTGAGGTTGTAACCTTCAATAATAATGTTGTTCCTTAATTTTTATGTGTTGGTGTATATGATGCTTTAACAGAAGGATCTTTTTTTGTTATGAGTGAAGATTTCTGAAAATTTCAGCTAATTATTATAAGACAGTTCACTGTCATTAAATACAGTCATTAAATTGTGCTATTATCCTGTTTTTTATTTCGATTAGTTACAGAATTTTTGAAATGTCACATGTAGCATTACTTTGCTGGAATATATAATTCATTTTTCAAAGACTTTATGCATTTCAATTCATTCAGAATTTGAAACATCGATTTTCCATGTGATTTAACACTTATAAGTGAAAGAGAGCTTTGAAATTTTAATTTCTTAATTCCAATCCTAATTAAAAGAGTGCAGTTTTCTGTTCCTAACTGCATTACTCTCCTAAGCACTTTGTCAAGTCTTCTGCTAAATTGCTCTGCAAAAGGTTTGGTGAATTGTAATTTATTGATGTCATTAAGATTCATCAGAATGTATTAACTCTAGTTGATAACTTTAATCTTAATTCTCCAAAAATATGTAAATTCACATCCCCCGGCTTTTATTCGTTTGATTTTAATTAGTAGGACACATCATGTACCTATTGCATTTGTGGAAGTGGTTAAGAATAGTCTGTTTGAAAATTTGAATGAACTGGTTTATGACTATCCTGTCCTGTCACAATTATTGTCAAACTGTATAAAGCTTTTTAGTACTACTGACTGGCTGTGTAATTTTACTTGATTTGAAAACTTTTTACAACGATAGATTAAGAAGGCAATTTACTTTAAGAAAACCGAGCTAGACTCGCAGCGTAATTTTCTTCAGTGCCAGTTAACAGTAATATTACTTCCAAGTTGCAATTTAACACATACTAATATTAGCATTTATTTGATCAACATTTTGCTGTAGCATTGCAATGATCAACATTTGTTTCGACCTTTTCTCAAAGTATACCTATGGACAATAAATTCTAAACTATGGTGCTAATGAATTTTCTTTTGACAAAACTTTCATGAAACAATTTAGAATCTAAAATTAACTTCTGATTTTTTACTGTTGAATTAGTTATATGTGCTAATCTTTTACTAACTATATCTGTGTTTTATATTTCTTTGTTTTTAAAGAAGTATTTTTGTATATGGATTATTCATTTTACATTCCTAGAGTGATCTATGGTCTCTTGGTATTACTGCTTTGGAAATGGCAGAATCTCAACCACGTAAGTGTTTTTAAGAATTTTGTTACTAACTCAAACTTTGCAAGATCATCTCTGTCACATGAAGAATAATTGATAAACATTCATTTTCTGTCCTAGACTACTAGGTTGAAATTATGTAATATTAAGATTAGTACAAGTTGTGGATAATTTATAACTTAGGATGCTTTCAACTTAATAGCAAAATAAGTTAGATACAAAACATATTTACATTCAGATATTGTTATAACTTGGTTTGCTGCCTTGATTTTTTTTTATTTATTTGTTTGGTTTTTATATATGATCCTGGAAAAGTTATATGAGGTAGCTTCATAATGCTCGTAAAATTTGTTTATTTTAGAAAACCAGTATTAATAAAATGATGTAAATTATATTTCTTTCAGTAGTCAGATGATAATATGTTTCTGATGATGTTAATACAGCTGTAGCTCAGTCTTTGCTGTTTTCGTAAGATTATCTGTTACACGAGTAATATCGTGGAATGTCTGAATTACCATGCTTTCAATCTGAGTTGCAGTTGAAAAAATATGACAGATAGCTGGTGACAAGTCAGGAAAATATATAGAATGTCCTTGTTTTGTCATCTTATGTTTTATTAAATATTATTAAGTTCCAAGCAATGTGCTAAGACATTTGTTTCATAATTTAATTCTCAGTTTTGGTGGTTAATATTTTCTTTACTGCATCTTGCAGGTTTGCAGAACCATTAATATGTATCTCTTTGTTAGCACTTGTGAAGAGATGATGTTGACTTTTATTTTAATATGTCTAATATCTTTATTCTAATATGCAAAAAAATGCCTCATCTTTTTTTTTTTTTGTTTTGTTAGAGTGGAAATAGTTGGAAATCTCTGTTGATAATACCTATGATATGTGTACAAGTCACTGATGAGAATAGCGTGATATCTTCCGACAGATATTTCAAATTCTGAAGTTATTTCTTGTACAGTTTTTTTTTTTGTGTGTTTTGTTTCTGATTCCAAATCTGCACTTTTTTGTCGGGTATCAAGCTTCAATTATGTTACTCTGTGGATCGTTATCAATGGTAATATAACTTTTATGGTATTTGGTGCAAGTGAATTTTTCTGGTCAATATCAGCAGTAATACAACTTCAGAGAAACTCTCGTGTTAGGCTAACTTTGGTGTTGTTTTTTTTTCTTTGCAAACCTGTCCTTATTGTTTGCATTCCCAAGGATAGTTTCTAAACTAAAGCAGAAAAACTGATCTTGCATGCCAGTAAATAAGTACCACTTTGAATTCCAATAACACTTATCATAGAAGCAAACTGCTGTTGAATCTTTAGGAAATGAAAATGTTGCTGTCTTGCATTTATTCTTCTGGACAATAAAATAGTAAGAATAGCTGGAAGTAAGAATTCTAGAAACTTTTTTAAGTTACCAGTGTGTGTTTTTGTAATATGTAATATCATTTTTATAATTAATGAAGTAAATTAGGAATGAAAATGAAAAGAAGAAATGAAAAAATTTCCACGATTTCTGTACTATTAAACTGTATTTGTTGATCCCTATACTGCACATGTTGCTTAATGTATTGAATAGCATGAATAATAATAATTTCAAGAAGTCTTGAAAAATGGAGATGAAAAGCAATGCATAAGCATTAGTACAATTTTTCAATTATTGTGCCTCAGAAGGTTTTTCAGAATGTAATCCATAGTTTAAAAATTTGGTTTGAGAAGCAGTTTTATGTGGTTTTATTCAAAAGTTCTCAAAAGTGTTAAATTAAAAATAAATAAATAAGTAAATAATAATAATTTAAATTGAAGGAAGAGTTAATTATTTTAAATTTTTGTATAACATGTTTTAGGAAATAATTGACACACGAAGCTTAACCCTCTGAGCGTTATGACCGGCTTTATCCGGTCATCAGAAGTTCTGCTACTTGACATATTTTGGCTTATAATTTATGATATTTTGCTTTCTTACTTTCTTTAATAATGTAAATAACATCTTAATGAATGCAAGTTTATGAAAATTTGGACTGTAATAAATAATTATACAAATTCAATTAATAAATGCTGTTTAAATACAGGTCTTCATGACGGATCTAAAATCCTGTGCCACTCAGAGGGTTAAGACAAAACATTGTTTTAATGTATGTGCATGTATTTAAAATTATACTTTGTGTGACAGTTTACTGTAATATGTACTTGTGTGTTGCTCTCATTCTTCTTTTTGCTTTTCTGTCACAAACTGGAACATATTTGAAATTTAGCAGATATTGCTTCTTGAATACTATGTTCCATACATTTTCTGTCTTTTAATGTTTAACAAATGTATCATAGTTTCTATTATAGTTTTGTCCCCTTTTAGTAATTTCAGTAATACTGGACATTAAAATTTTTTTGTAAGAGTTTAAGCCAGGCAAGTCTAGCCTCAACATTTTACTTTACATTTCTCATATAATTTTCTATATTCTTCATGTCAAAGGATCTTACTGCATTGATTTATTAAATTGGACCCATGTTTCTGTAATCGAATGTTCAAAAGCTATGTAGTCAAGTATTCTTTTTGAAACATGATTAATGGATAAATTTGACCAGTGACTTGTGAATTAAATTGTGCTTAAAAGTGAGTAGGGGTGTAGAGTATTGCCATAAAATTATATTTGATTCCATGATATGGAAATTTAACATTTTTTGGCATTCTTTTATCTTTTAGCATTATGTGATATGCATCCCATGCGAGCATTATTTCTCATTCCTCGTAATCCTCCACCTCGTTTAAAATCCAAGAAATGGGCAAAGAAATTTCACAGCTTTATTGAAACTGTTTTAGTAAAGGATTATCAACAGCGTCCATACACTGACCAGCTGTTAAAGCACCCATTTATTCGAGATCAGCCTACTGAACGGCAAGTTCGAATTCAGTTAAAAGACCATTTAGATAGGTGTAGAAAGAATAAAAAAGGTAAGTAAAAATCTGCCTTTTGTTTTAAATACCACTGTAATACTGGATGTAGATATGAAATACAACTGATTCTAGAATTACGGGGTTTGAAATGCCTGATTTCAGTTATATGCAGATTTGTTTGGTAAACATATTGAACACTTTTTTTTTTTTTTTTTTTTTTTTTTGAGATTTAGTACAGTTTCATAAACTCATAAGGTTATTTTCTCCCTCCTTTCTGTGTGCCTTCGAGATGTAACAGGAAGCACATCTGATGCATGAACAGGAAGTTTAAAGTTCAAATCCCAGTGAGGGCTTTTTGGATTTCTTCAGTTTCTTGTATTAGGAAAAACCTAATGACTCTTGGTGCCCAAACTAAAAGGTGCTGAATCTGGGATTTGGCAGTTCCATCATCTCATCTCCAGTCATCCTTTAAAGGGAGAACATATAAGGTATTTTCTCCCTGCTTTCCATGTGTCGTCATGGTGTAACTGGAAGCACATCCATTATGTAATTGAGAGGTCTGGCGTTCAAGTCCTGGGGAGGGCATTGCAGATGTTTTTCACTTTTCTGCATTAAAAAAAAACATACTGACTACAAACTTAATGGAAAAATTTTGTAGCTTTCACATATATACAATGCAAAAAATTAGATGGGTTCTGAGTGCATAAAATGTATGTTGATACTAGTGTGTTTTGTCATTTATGCCATAAAGTGAACATGGTTCTATTCTACAATTAACCAACATGTTCACACACAAATACTTGTAGGCTTTACATTGCACCACCTACAAGAGAAATGCAAACAAATGTTATATTGATATTAATGTGCATCAGAATCTTTTAATAGAATCCGTGAAGGTAAGCCAAAAAATAACAGGAGCTCAAATTATGCACCAAGAAAGTTCCACAGCCACCTTTGTCTCCTAAAATTTAGATCAGTTCACATGTTTTAAGTGTGCTTAAAACATGCTGTATGGTGCTATTGATATCTTTCCAAACAATTCATCTGTTCAATAAAATAAACTATTCTAATAAGGTATGACCTTCAGTAGTTCTCATTTAATATCCGTTGTGGCACACGGAAATGAGAAATTTTGAACGTTACAATTAGCAGCACTGTAGAGCCGGCAGTTGTTCGAAACTTTGTACAATTGTTGTGAGCGCATTGCCATTTAGTAATCAGTGGACTGGTGCGGAACGTGCAGTAGCGAGAGATCCCCTGATCTTAGTGTGTGAGACTTCTTCCTGTGGAGATATCTTAAAGGCAAGGTGTACCATACACGTCCTGCAACAATCTATGAACTGAAGGAGAACATTGAAAAAGAAATCACTGCCATTCCCCAAGATTTGCTACACCACTCAATCCAGAGTTTTCATAACAGGCTGTTAGAGTGTAAACTCCGAATGGAAGCACATCTTTCCGATGTCATCTTTAAAAAGTAAATAGACACTTTTGGAGATTTTGATTGTGAAAATGTAAATGTCATGCTGAATATATGACTTTTGTTAATAAATTACTAGTTTTATGAATTTATTCGTGGAAATGACGTTATTTCGAAATTTCGCATTTTCTTGCGCCACTCTGTATTTAATAAATTAATGCAGACTTCTAAGTAACATTAAGAGGCTTTAAATAACATAATTTGTATATACAATTCATCTAGTTAGTTTAACGTTCCTCCCCCAAATCAGAGAGAAGACGTGTCATTTGAAAAAAAGTTAGCAATTGCTAAATATGTATTGTAGATTTTCAAATGTGTAATTTGTTACAAAACATTTCATTAATGATATCTAGCGTTACTAATATTTATACTGTTTACTATGTTTTGTAATATATGGATCAATATTAATGCACGATTGATAGAATACAACTTTGTATTTTGGACATTACCTTCTGTCTTATGTCATTGAAGTGTTAGATTTGGTAACTTTTTATTAATGTCGATGCTGTTATTTTTAACTGATTTGGGCATGTCCACTTCTAAGACAGAAGACTGGTCTAATGTATGCATCCTGTGACCTTTGTCTAAGACAGAGGACTGGTCTAATGTATGCATCCTGTGACCTTTTGTTCTGAAATTAAAGGCATGTATTTACACTTCTTTTGGACCGTGTTTATCAGTTCCTTTTATTTGTTTCTTTAAATGCCTAACAGATGTCTTACTGCTTGTTTTAAGAATTGTAATGTGTTGTTTGAAAATGGTGTAAAAAGAACTGTCTAAACTATACAGCTGTGGATTTAACACCATAGCAATAAATTGGAGGAATTTAAATTTAATAGTTAAAAATATCAATTGTAATTCCCATCTTCGCAAGACAAACTCTCAGATTTAATTTTTGCACCTGTCTGCCTATCTTGCTTGTAATAATTCCAGGTTATGCTATTTCCAAATATCAGAAACTAGGAAGTTCTGTGTTTGAGAAATAAAATTTACTGTTTTCATTTATTTCAAGAAAGCTTCATGTGTTTATATTATGCACCTTCATTTATTCAAGTATAATTTATTGTAAAATAAGTTTTATGAAAATCTCAGCTTTTTGATTTTCAAACATGTAATTGGTCGTAAGTTTTTTAACCATTTACTGTAATAAATATTATATTTTTAGGTGAAGAAAGAGATCATGAAGATTATAGATATAGTGGAAGTGATGGAGAAGAAGAAGACATTCCAGTTCATATTAGGTACACTTTGTTATATTTTTCATTAATATCTAATGTCATGAATTTTATTATAAGCTTTTATTTAGCTCACTTATGATGTATGCTGCTATGGTCAAATTTGTCATCAAATAAGACTAGAAGAGAAACACGCTAACGTGACAATCAAAATCGTAAAAAACAACCTTATATTTAGCGTAGGTATAATGAAACACTCAATCGATTTCGAGGGCAGCTAAAGGTCCCTCCTCATCAGGAGAAAAGAATACATAGAAAGAAGAAAAATAGGAGAAGGAGTCACAGAAACACCGTGGTGCTTATCAGCACTGCACGTGGTTATAACTAGATTTTTAATCAGAGTTGCACTGGCCGCCTACTTTTACTGAGCCAGGCTGTCTGATCGAGCATAAAGAAATATTAGTGAAGTTAAAATAGGGAAGGGCAAATGCACCTTACGCTCAAAATCTGAACTTCAAATAATGGAAAGCAACCACTGAACGGATTTTTATACCCTCTGGTAGTACCAAGCGCGAGGAGGTAACGCCATCTATCGGCAAAATAATTGAATTAAGATAGTAGAATTTTAAAGGCATTAGGAAGGACTGGATTGGACTTCAAATCATTAACTAAACTTTCTAAATCTTTGTGAATGTGAAAAGCCTCAAGAAAATCCAATTCACCTATGGAAGAAGCCTTTTGGATGATTTTTGCAGACCCAAAATCAAAATTATGGTTAAAAGTCCAGCTATGATACGCTATTGAAGACTTGTTAATTTCGCCTTTTTTGACATAAGATTCATGTTCCTTGATACGAAACTTCAACGCTCTTTTTGTTTGGCCAATATATCTTAAACCACACTGACATGATATACTATAAATTCCCCAAGAATTCAAGACAGAAACGCAATCTTTAAAATCGAAGGGTGAATTTTATTAATAGGGGAGAAACCGACTTGAAAATTGAATTTCTGGAGAATCCGTGCAATTTTATAGCTAACAGAAGGATAAAATGGAAGCACGACAAGGTCATTAATATTATTTCTAACAGTGGAATGTCTTCTTTGATGGGAATCTGAAAATTTTTTGACAGCTTTACCAATAATCACAGGAGAAAATCCACGGTCAATCGCAACTGCTCTCAAATAATTAAGTTCATTGGTAAGCAAAGATTCAGAGGAACAAACTTTTAGCGCACGGAAAACATAATAGTAAAAAGAAGCCATTTTTTGCTTAACAGGGTGGCATGACTTGGCATGGGGTGGTAAACAAACTGCAAAGGGTTTACGGTACACAGTGGTGCTAAAATCGATTTCATTGCGGATTATAAGAATATCGAGGAAGGGAGGGAATTGTTGGATTCAATTTCAAGAGTGAATTGGATGGCTGGATCAATTGAATTCATAATAGATAGAATCTCGGATAAATCCTCTTTATAACCGTCAAAAACTGCGACCTCCTCGCGCTTGGTACTACCAGAGGGTATAAAAATCCGTTCAGTGGTTGCTTTCCATTATTTGAAGTTCAGATTTTGAGCGTAAGGTGCATTTGCCCTTCCCTATTTTAACTTCACTAATATTTCTTTATGCTCGATCAGACAGCCTGGCTCAGTAAAAGTAGGCGGCCAGTGCAACTCTGATTAAAAATCTAGTTATAACCACGTGCAGTGCTGATAAGCACCACGTGTTTCTGTGACTCCTTCTCCTATTTTCTTCTTTCTATGTATTTCTTTCTCCTGATGAGGAGGGACCTTTAGCTGCCCTCGAAATCGATTGAGTGTTTCATTATACCTACGCTAAATATAAGGTTGTTTTTTATGATTTTGATTGTCATCAAATTTCAAACTACATCTTGGTATGCTATCAAGTTCAAATTTTGTACACACGCTGTTTGCCAATGGCAATTAAAAATTGTAGATGACTTTTGTAAAGATAATTATTTAATCTTTTGTTCCCATTAAACAATATAAATTATTTTTCTCCTTTTAGTTCATCAATAGTTTTATGAGTTTTAAATAAAAACTTACTTTATAATTTTTTTCCCAATTGAAAGTTTATACTAAAATAACTGTAACAAGTAACAGCAGAGAAATGTGTAAGGAAAAATGGCTGCCCTGAGTTTTCCAAAAATTTTAATTTACTTTGTTTATATCTGAGGAAGAGTTTTAATTACTGGCATTTATGTTATCAGATTTCTGTTGTAGATGATTTTATTTTCTAATTAAAATTAGATTAAATCGTCTGCTATTAAACATAGCAGTATGCATAATTTGTTGATGGATCTTTCCATAAGAAAAATTAACATGCTGATGTGTTTATTTTTCTTAATTAAAAGGCTATCATGCAATTCATTTCAAATTTATAAATCTAATTCTTTTAATTCTTTTGACACCATTTGAATGATAAATTATGCATGTTAAAATAGTTGATGTTACTGTAACTGAAATAAGAGCACAAAAGTTTTTACAAATTTTTTGCCTTTCAGTATATGATTTCTTACTCATTACCTATATGTTTAAGAATTAAATTAGAGTTATCAAACTTGTGTAATTTTTTGTAGCTCAAGAAATGTTATTGACAGTGATTCAACATTAAGAAGAAATTACCAGGATGACAGCAGAACTTTGACACCAGGTGCTGGAAACTTCTGCCCTGTGGACACTCCCTTGCCACCTCCTCGACCACCTGTGCCTCCACAAAGGCTTATAGGTATGTGTATGACAATAATAATTTATATTCCATTGTATGCATATTTAAGTTAGGCAGTATTCTATGTAATATTTTCTTGTAGATTTTCAATAATTATCAAACTTAATCTAGTCAAATAGCTACAAAATGCATTGAGGTTTTTGAATGACTGCATTATTACATCGCATTCTACTATGTATGTGTATCAATAATGCTTCATGTCATGTACTAATACTTATCAGCAAGTATTTATCGTGTTCCTTGCTTTCAGCTTTGTGTAATGTATGTATATAGTACATAGAGAAGCAAATTGTGTGCCAATATGTAATTCACATTTTGGATATTTTATTCGTTTATATGCTTGACCTATAGAAGGAGCTAAATCGATGGTGTTCTTCATGCAAGATCTGTGATGAAAACATTAGATCAGAAGATATGCTGTGTGTACTAAAAAAAGTCATGGGGCATTTACTTTCATAGCCATTGGTTGCAGATATGCTCTAGTGTCAGAGGATTTTAGACATTTGCACCTATCAAAGACCTTTCAGTTTCAGAGGGCTGATTGACTAAGGTTCGTGCAGCTCCTCTGGTATCATCTGCAACTGTAATGAATCAGAGAATATGAAATACAACAACAAACATCAATAAAAAAAACAATGGACTGATTAATTCAGTCTGCAAAATGTGCCAGGCAGAACAAACACCGCAGAATGTTCCAAATTTTTGAATTAGAGAAACTTTTGCTGGTAACAAAATCCTTGCTGAATGAAGACAATTTTACTTACTTCTCAAAGCCCCTGCTTTAATGCGTTTAAATATTAAGTTCTGTTTGGTTGTTAATAATGTTGTGATATTAAGATTCTCATAGATTTATGATAAATATGTTAAGCGTTGTACATGCAACATTGTTTTGTAACACATAAGATTTTGCGAATAAGATCTCCTTTTTGAAAATGATCAATACTTTTCATGACAGTGCACATAGCTATGATCATCTTAAGTAATATGTTAACATTAGAAACCTTCTTCTAAACTGATATTTTATTTTTAGATATGTACAAATGCAAACATTTTGCTCTTCAGTTTGTGCATGATCTTTGAACATGAGCTCCAGCTTTAAAATTAAGTATCTCAGCCACTTTTTGTTACATGGGAATCAAGCATTTTGTATTTTGTTTTTTTTTTAGCATGAATGTAAATTCTTAATAAATATAACTATAGGTATCGACAGCCCACATAAAATGTTACGTTTCTTAATTTTCACAAGATAATTTTAGAATCTTTTAAATTTGAAAATGTCATAACATGAATATTTTCCATATTTAAAGTGTTTTTATAAGCAAATTCACTATAACAGAGATCAGTTACTTCAGCATGCATGAGAATAAATAAAAATACAAGATACCAGATGGGAGTTTGTAGCAGAAGTGAAGTTTTGTTGGATATGTACAGATTTACATTTTAAGGATGTATATCAGTGATGCCATCTGTAAGCTAAATACATATTCAAAGCTAATATCTTTTTTATACTGCTACTTTAGATTTAAATATTAAGTATCATCCTTTTCCATTAACATACACATGAAAAATTGAATCACACTTGTATTCATTTTAAAACCATTGCCTTTGCACACATTTCATGTTTTGCACTATTTACACTTTTTTTCAAAAAATCTTCAATCATATCATTAGTGGGCATATTTTGTATTTCAGTATGCTTAAATTTCACAGCTTCTCACACAAAATGATGTTGCATATCAATATATTTTGATCTACTATCATAAATGCTATTTTTGCTGATATTATTATTGCTATGTAATAAAATTGGTTTTATAGGAGTAAATGCAAGTGCCATAACAATTTTGTTGAACCATATGGCTTCTTTAGTAGCTGCAGAAAGAGCTATATATTCGGCTTCTATTGTGCTAGTTGCAGTGATTGTTTGACGCGTACTACGCCGTGATACTGCACCATCTCCGATGAAGAAAACATATCCAGTTGTTGATCTCTGATCCTCAACATCACCTGTCATTGTAACCAAGGATGTCAACATTATAGTCCTTTGGGGAAAAAAATGCAGCATCTGTAGAAGCTAAAAAATATCACATTATGTGCTGGGCAGCATTCCAGTGAATTCTTGCAAGATAATTAGATAATTGACTAAGCAGATTCACAGCATAAATTGTATCTGGTCATGTTGATTGAGCTGCATAAAGAGAACTCCCAGTGGCAGCCTGATAAGGAGGCGGTAGTTTTTGTTCTTACTAGTTGGTAACTGAAGTTTAGATAATACATAATTTTGTTCTAGTGGCATTTCTACGACATGAGACTCGTGCATATTAGTTAGCTAATGCAGCTAAAATTATTTGTTGGGATTGTAAAATTGAAATTGGAGGTTACTTGTTATTTTTTATGGATTTGTGCATATAATTTTACTTTTATTAAATAGGTATGAAGAAAAAATTTTATGCTGTTGAAAATGTACTTCACCTTATTCATGTTGCATAAATTGATTAATGCATTTTAATCATGTCTGAACACTTGGGTTAGAAAATGCCATTAGAAAATTTACTGCAGTTTTTATAGATTTGAAATATTGTGATTTTTTTATATGAGAACATTTGGAATGTGATGTAAGGTATATTTTAATTTTATAACAGTTATTTTAATTTATGTAACCTTTCCTATCAATTCTTGTTTCTCACTTACAACTCCATACTAGAATGAGTTTTTAGAATCACTTTGAATGCAAATGAGTAAAGTAGTAGTATTCAAGGAAGGTTCAACTTCGAGAGAAAGAGCTAGGAATCCTGAGTAGCATGTGTTTACCTTCGTGCTAAGTCTCTCTAGAAGCAGTTATGCTTAGCGGTATATTACGTGTCTTTTGATATTTGTGGGCTAGTTTAAATTAAGGGTCAACTACGTTAGATTTATGTTAGTTTCAGCTGTCTGTTTTAGTTGGTTCTACGTTAGCTCTTATTTTTTAGTTAGATTTCAAGCCCGAGTGGAGGCTAAGCTTGAAGAATAGGGCCAACTGTTCATCTTATATTGAGTGAAATAGAGGGTAATTAACCCTTTTTCACTTTATGACTTCTGTTATTTGAACTCAACGATAAGTCACTTAACAGTTCACTTGGTTCCTTGACATTTACTTTGGTAGAATAAGAGTGAGGAACTCTATAGTGGAATGACTTGGTATTGAAAATAATGAAGTAAAAGTTTCAGAAATTGTGATTAATGTTACAATGCATTTGGAAAGTAGAGTAATGATCTTAAAATGGTTATGAAATTGAATGTGAATAATATTGGGTTAGTGCATAAATTCGTGCACATTTTTTGATAAATTTTTAAATAATATAAAAAAACACAGTTTAACAGTTTAATCAATTATATATTTTCCTCCATTATCTACGTCTTGCCATCTTACAGGCAGCTTTTTTATGCCATTGCTGTAGAAAGACTGGTTTTTATGCAAAAAAACTTGAAAGTTCATTGTGTACATCCTGTTTAGAATTTAATTGTTTTCCCAGTAAAAAATTTTGTGAGGTGCGAAATAAGTGAAAATAACTTAAGGCATTATCTGGGGAGTAAGCAGGATGTGACAAAAGCTCCCAATTAAATTCACTAATTTTTTGCAGCGTTGTTTGAGCTGTATGTGGTCTAGCATTATCATGATGAAACAACACTTCCTTGATATTCAAGAATCATGGGCGTGTTTTTTGATTCATTCTGACTTTAGATGGCAAAGTTGTTCACTATAAACTTCTGAATTAATCGTTTGATTTGGTTCTGACAGTTCAAAACGTCTTGAACGGGGTTCATCATCAATGCTGATTTTTCCAACTTTACATTTTTTAAACCATTTCTGGGAAGTCCTTACACTAATGTGCTTCACCATGTGCACTATTAATTTTTATTGCTGCAAACCGGGCAAATTCACCACACAAAAATAAAAAATGTAGCACAGCACGTTTATACTGATTATCTATATTCATCTTGTGTGGGTACTAAAATGCATTTGATATTTACGGAATGAACTAAACAATATGTTAATCAAACAATGACAAATTTCAACAGGTTCAAAATTGTATTGTTTTAGTAAATGTGTCATAGTGAATTCCACACATACTCGTAATGCACATGAACTTATGGACTGACCCGATATAATTATAAGGAGAAATGTGTAGACATAGAAATCATGGTTTGAAATTAAATTACAAGAACAGTCGAATGTCGAAAATGAGGCAGAGTATTTTTAGTTCCAAATTAATTGTTCTTTTTATTATCACATTTGTAATATAAATTACATATTATAATATATATTGAACCTTTTATTTTAACTGTGGGATGATATATGCAAATCTGAAAGTGCCAATTGCATTTTAATAATAATGAAGTGAAGAAGTCCATTTCTTCTTTCTAGAATTGCTGTATACAAAACATCCTTCTGTTTTACATCTGTCTGAATATTGTTTATAATATGGATATTTTTTGTTTATTTGCCTTATTTGTTTTCTCAACTAATATTGGGAAAGCAGTTTTCATAGTTATAATGTTATAGGAGAACTGTTCAATTTTTGTTGCTTTATTTAACTATTGTTTTTAGTTGTGCCAGATCCACCACCTCCAAGTAAGCCATTGCCACCTATTCCTGGAGAAGAAAAGAAACCAGCTACACCACCGAGAAATCAACAGTTGCAACCTCCTGCGTTACCTCCTAGCAGGAGTGCAGCAGTGATAAAACCTTGTGCACGGAAGCCTGAGGTGTGTAAACACAATTTTATTTCTGATTGTAATTATTTTCCTGTCCTCTGATAATTAAGTTATGAGGGTGGATTACAAAGTTTTAGAACTTCAGTCACAGTCACACTTAACACATTTTGTTGTGGCAGGTGAGAAAGGTGTCTCTATGATTGTATGGCATAGATATGGTAAGATTTTGTTTTGAGAATTTAAACCATAATGAAATGCTTGGAATACACATAGGAGGATAAACTATGTAAATGTGCTTTAGTATTTCTGTGATTAAAAAGCACTGCAATAAGGTACCAGATTAAGTGGTCAACAAAGCATATTCTGGCAAATTATTTCATGTGATTATTAATGTCAGCATTTCAAACTCAGGAGTAAATAGTGACTATTATATGAGCATTTTGAAAATCATTGAAAGTTGCTTGATCTTGTATCTTGAAAATTGCTTATGATAGCAGTGAGGGATTTAAAAAAAAGCAGATTTCCTCAAGAAGCAATGGTTTTGCTCCAGGGAAGTGCCCAGCTGCATGTTGCTCCTGCGACATTTGGGAGAATTGAAAAGGCATTTTTGGGGGAATAGATTCTCTTGAGATGAGAAAGAGAAAAATTCCTCGTGCGCAAGGCTAAAGAGAATGTCATAAAACAGTCTATTTCATGTTTTTGAATTGTTCAAAGTTCTAAATGTGTAGTTCTTTCTGAAGGACAAAAAGAACAGACACAGGGCACTTAGAATCACCCCAGGCAGCATACATTCATAAACTGTGCATGAAAAATATGTGTGCAATTTTTGAATGGCCCTTCATATAAAAACCCCAAAAGTTGAATGTAAAAATATTGTAAAATGTGTCCTGAAGAAAATAGATATTTACGTATATTTTTATGTCGCTATATACATAAGTAAAATTTAAGTAATTCATGCAAATAATCTCTCTTTATTCATACACTTTGTGTATATCATATATAGATTTCAATATTTGATGTATATTTTTGGTAAAAATCGGCATACATTTTATTGCCTATATGTAAATTTCCCAATTTTTTAACTTTGTTTATATGTTTATTTTTAATATAAATTTGCGTAATTATTACTCAATTATGTAAAAATTTACATAATAACGTAAAAATGTGCACAATTTTCTACATAGTATAAGTGTATACTTTTCATAGATATTTACATTAATTTTTCCCTATTGTTTTGCTTTGCATATGTATAAATCTCTTGTACTTTTTACTGTGTAAAGACATGCATTTTTGGCAAAACAGCTGTTTTTATTTATTACTGCATTTATTCATGCATGTTTCATGAAATCTGCACATTTTTTCACATATGTACATATATGTATTTAGTACCATTTTTCTTCTATAAATATAAGCAAATAATATTTACACATTATGAATGTAAAAAACGCCCTTTTAAACGCATAAGGTTTTCATGTACCGGCGCTTTTCGTTTCATATTGGTAAAATACAATATGTATCAGACGTAGTTATACTTTCACAGTATTTATAAAACACCATTCATGTACACGTTTTTCCATGAATATTGAAATTTTCCACATTTTATTAAATGTGATCAGCTAAAATACGAAACCAAAAAGTTGTTCCATTGAGTATATCAGTTTTCTAAAAATGTATGATTGTACGATTTTATATTAAAGCAGTTACCGAGATAAAAATAGAAATTATTTTAGTCATTACAAATTTTTATTTTAAAAAATTCATATTTATTTATCTACTAAAATAAATATGAATATATAATATATATTCAATATTTATTATTATGTGAATAACTAAGCAATTTTCAAAAATAAATTACATTGTTCACCTTAAGAAAAAGCAGAGAAATAAGAGACACCAACCTCCCCCCCAATACTTTGTCTTCTATGTATAGCACTTTCATGAAAATATACTTGCAGTTTTCTTCATATTTAATCCAAGTATGTATCTATCACATCTATGAAATTTCCTCTTCATTAATGGCCATTTAATTTCCATACATTTATTGTTTGGTTGTATAATGTTTCACAGCTATTGGTACTTCTCAGAAGTAGTAAAACCTATTAGAAATATACAAAAGAAATTTTATTTTGTCCCAGTCATTTTAAAAGTGCATTTTTGAGCTAATGCTTTAATGTTATATCTATTTTGCCCATAGGAAAGATAATGTGTGAAATAGTATATTTGGATGTGAGTGTATTTAAAGTGAGCCAAAAATTTAAATCAATAATTGTTTGCATGCTTGAACCTAGAAATGAAATAATCCATGAAACGAGATTCTGGAACAATAGACAGAATATTTATTAACTTAACAATGGAGTAATGTAACATAAATGAAGAATAAAAGGGTTAGTGATCTGCAGTTCTCTGTGACCTACAGTAAAGCCATCACTGGGCTTTCTGGAACAGCAGCAGGAATACAGCTGCAGCAGTGTGACTATTTGTAGCAACAGCAAGCAGCTGGGAATTAACTGCAAGGAGAAGACCAAACACCATTCCCAGGCTGCACTTTACCTTCAGGAACAACTGTCATGCATCGTTTCACCAATGATAAAGGTTACATAAATTAGAAATATTGACTGCTATAAAAACCTTTTAATTTTATTATTCAGAGGAAAGCCTAGTGCAGTTTAAATGTCATTCAACAGAAACTAAAATGAATCTTGGACATGGTACTTTATCATTCGTAACTTGGAAAGTAGGAGAAATTCTCTTAAATATTTTTTAAAAGAAAAGAGAAAATATTTTTAATTCTAATTTTTTCTCCCTGACTTTAGATAATGCCTACAAAAGTCAGAATCATGAAACCATGATAATGATAAACATTATTTAGTACTGAATTACTGGATCATATTTGACAAAAAAAATGCACAAGTTCTGAAACATTACTTCTATTTGTGTTGGTGTTGTCCTCGCTATAAAAAGCCTAAAAGAACCCGTCCACAAAGAGCCAAATTCTGTTTTACCAGGAATTTAATATTATACATTATATCAAGAATTTTTTACACAACATATTGCTCTTTTTTTTATCAGTAATCTAACCTTTTTGAAGTGTGGTTTTCTAACTTTTTTCCATTTGAAAAATTTTTTATTGTGTTGAGCACTTGATGGCTACTTTGGGATTTAGTTTATGCCATTTATTAAATCCATTAGATGAGCAAAACTGTGATTCATTTGATATAGTTATGTTACCAAACAGCTTAATTATTCATTAATTTGTTATATGGCAGAAAAAGCAAAATAATGATGCATAGCAGGAGAATAAGCCATCTGATTATGTAACCTTTTTTTCTATGAGTTAGTGTTATGTAAAATCATTCTTGTGCTAGTCGCTTCATTGCTCCTTTCGTGTTTGATTGTGACACTGTTAATACTTACGCAAAGTTAGTGTTTATATGCTATATAACTTCTGGATCTAACTGCACAAGATGCAATCTCATGTTTTCATCTGTATGTTCAAGCCATTTTCGAGTATCATTTAAGTCTCTGTACTGCACCAATGCTTTATCAATCTCTGTCTCGGAGCTATCGAGAACTAATATTCTGATATAAATTCCAACTTAGTAGACATTGCTGCAATTTCATCTGGTGCAGCAATCTTCTCATCTACAATAAGAGGAGCATATGGAAGCTGACAAACTCAAAACTTTAATTATGGGTACCAGGACAGGACATCGGCATCACAATCTTGAGCTACTTCAGCCTATTGGTTTTTACGAGCAACCAACATGGAGGCTGACATTTTGGAAATAGAAACTTACACATATTTTAAAATAGCCCCTCATTTTTTTTAATTATTTTCTTTCCTGACTTTTATTTTGGTGCAAAGCCCCACTTTCTTTTTTCTTTTTAATTTTTAGATGCTGTGTCAAGGAAAAAATTGAATCTTTTGTTATTGTAACTTTATTTATAACTCTTACACCCTTATTTATAACTTTTATTATATTAAAACTGTTGTTATTATTTTTCATTTTTAATGTTAGTATTTAGATTTTCTAGAACTCACATTGACAGATTATAATGCATTACTTACTAATTATTATCTAACAGTAAAATAGTTGGATAACTATTCCAGCACTTTGTATATAACTAGTGACAGTGCTGTACAAAACTTTAAATAGACCAATAATGAATTCAAAACAATTCATCCCATGCTAATAGACTTCATAAATGATACTTGATATTATCAGTTATTTATCTTTTGATTTCAGGTAATTACTTATTACATTCAATTTATTAAATAAATCAATTAACAAATGTGTTTGTTAATTGAAAACCTACAATAAATTCTCCATGTGATCAATGATCAGTTGTCACCAGTTTCAGTAGGTGGAGATAAATTGCCATCAAATCTGTTGTTGTGAAAACAGTTTAAGGAATTCAAAAAGGAAATACTAATGGCATTACATACCTAGACCTGTTTCACCTCATACATGTCTTGTATCTCCTTACTTTAGGTAGACAACATATTTATATTTGTCTATACTGTGAAAAGTTGACACTTGTTGCTCTTCCATCTAAGCCAGCGTACACCAACAAAGAATGAAATTTTTGAATTCAAAATGTTTTTAAGTTTAGAAGTGCAGTGGAACATATACTTTGTGTAGTAGATAGCTACTGCGCAAAGTATTGTGGATATTTTCAGGTACACTATTTTTGTGGATAAGTATCTTCTCTAGTCTCCTTAATATTAATTCAACAGTAGGGATTTTGTCGCTCCTAATAAAGTGCTGCCGGGGGGTGGGCACTACTTTGCCGACCTAACACTAAGCCATTGCCTTTATTTAACTGGAAGACTGCTTATGTTTAATATATGGTTTAAGCCATGTACTTATCAAAAATTGTTACTTTTGTAGTCCATTAAAAAATACTAATTTTGTTTAGATTACAGTCTAAGCTGTTTGCTTCTAATGTTTAAAAAGTAATTGCTACAAATATTTCTTGTAGACTTATGCACTATTTTCAGTTGAAAACTTTCTTGTATTTCTTCTTACGTTGTAATAAAATTTCTTCATCATGATTTTTTTAACTCTGCCTCATGTTTTGCTTCTAAAATACTGCAGTTACTATAAGGTTTCTAAAAGTCTGGAATTATAGAACATTTTATACAAAATGTTCAAAATTACTCTCTGGTGTTTATGACATTACAGTACATCCAATTCTGCCATTCCATTAACACTTGATTGACAAAAATGAGATCAGTCTGATAACACAGAAAGAGAACAAGAAAACCTGAAAAAGAATAGGAATAATTATAGGTGAAGAATCTCAATATGCTGCTGAACATTTTATTTTAGCACTGCTGTTTTAACTTAAACCTTTCTGTGATTTGCATTTTTCCCCCCATTTTGTAAATTTATTTTAATAGCTCTTAATTGTTTCAGGATTTAGATATCTTGGCATCCCATTTGACAGACATGTCCATGCTAGAAAATAATAATTCTGGATCCAGCCCTCTGAGTAGTAATTTGCTGCCTGCTGTGCCATGTGACGAATATTCTACTTTGAATGGAAGCTCACCTGAATTCCCTCCTCCTCCACCTCCTATTGTTTCTGATTCTGATGATGATGACGACGATGATGATGATGATGATGATGGACAAGTTCAAAATGATGGTACTCTGTTGGCATCAGATCCACCACGGCCCTTGTATGTTCACTGATTACCTCTTCTTATACATAAATTTCAGATTGTCTTTACACTCTTTTGCCAAAAAAAAGGACTCTTCAAAAATAATCTGATAATCTTAATTTTGTATGGAAACACCTTCATTTCAAGTATGTAAATGATTCAGGTTTCAAGGCCAGTGAGTGTTGACCTTGGCCATAGCATGCATTTCCACTTTACAACTATAAAACAGGTAACAGTTGTGGACAATCTATTATTTCGCACTGTCAGTGTTTCAGTTCCCTGGAGACATAACTAATAATGTTGTTATGACATTGTCTAAGTATAGTAGAGACGCATAATATAGTAAGTCTAAGTATAGTATGACACATAGTAGAGGTGCTTGAATCGGGCTGATCATATCGAACAATATGCTGGCATGTGCACTGTCTGGAGATGTCTGTGCAAAGGTGCTGGCAACAGTGTTGGCTCCAAGGTACTCAGTGGCGGAATCAAGGTTCTGGAAGGTGTAGGTGCAGGAATCCAAGGCAAGAACAAATAATTGTGCAACAGGCCCAAACTGCCCTATGGAATCTTTCTTCACTATGCTACAGCCTGTTCCTTCTCATGACACCTTCCACCATCTCATGGTGCTGAGGTATCATTGCTTTCACACTAGCCTTTAATAGTCATTTATTGATGTCGTAGCCAATTAGTGTGGTGGCCTGCTGATTGGCATCGCATAGTGTTCAGTGGCGAATCCCATTTCAGTCTTGATGACTATCATGTCCATGTGTGGAGGTGCCAGGGACAGCAGTCCCGATCACCTTTTTTGATTTACAGAAGCGCCCAGCCATGACCTCTGGTGTGATGATGCAGCGTGCTATCTTTTTCGACAGCAAGTTGACTAAGTCACCCTCCAAACAACTTTAGCAGCTGAACAGTCTGTTGATGTCTTCCTGTGGCTGTTTTTGTTACTCTTCATAGCACGCCATGCTGGAACAGTTTGCTGACAGGATAGTGCTAGACTGTATACAGCTGACTTATCTTTAGACTGTCTCCAAGTTTTTGCTTCTTTTCCTTGGCCAGCAAGTCACCAGACCTTTAGCCAATTGAACATGCATGGAATATGGTAAACCACTATTTTTGGGCACCGTGAAATGTCACAGATCTGGAGAAACATTTGAGGAATACCTGGTGGAATGTATTGCAGATGACATTATTAATTTTTATCACTCCTTACCTCATACCCACCAGCAGCCGAGCGGTAATGTCACTGAACACTGGTAGTTCGGTCTGAGGTTTGAATTCCACGAACGGGCTGGCTGCATGGGTGTTTCTTGGTTTTCCCCACATGTAACGTGCATACGAGCTGGTTTCCCTTAAAAAGTCCTCCACGAAGGCATCCCTCCCTTAAGGCAGATAGCCCTCGAGTGCTTTGCCATAATCTAATAAACCAAAACCACTCCTTACCTCAACATTTACAAGCATGCATCATTACAAGTGGGAGTTTCACCAGTTACTGATTTAAATCAATGTGCAATGGCTAGCCACTGTTTTAGATTATGGCCTTGAATTTTAATCATTTCATTACCTGTGTATGAGTTTTATCCATATTTAATTGCATTAAAAACAGTCACTAGTGTTTTTTTGGGGGAGGGCAGAAGAATGTATTTTAAGATGTGCGATAAATATTTAAAAAAAAATTATAGCAGATATACTTCATTATAGATTTACAGGATGCATTTTTTATTTGCTGTAAATATAATTTCTTAAAAAAAATAGCTACTTCAATGACTGGTTATTTTGTTTTTTTATACAGATAAAAAAGTCATGAGTAAAATAAGGTTGCTTCAGTTTTCAACTTTAATGTGTTATAAAAATAATAAGACTTGCATGAAAATACCAAGTCAATATAACTCAAGTATTGAATTTACAAAAATTCTGGAATAATGCATTATAAGTAAATAAAAGAACTTTAGACATAAGTGCTGTTTTCTTAAACTTTTTAGGTCACTGCTCCCCCACTTAAGTTGTTTTTTGGGGGGTTAGCATGTTCATATTTTTCATATGAGCATGTACATTGTCTCTTTACAAAAAATTACCCGTGTGGTATAGCATATTTTAATTTCTTTGCATATTTAAAGAATAGTAAAATAGCTATAAAATAATGCTGTGATAAGGATTAATTATTTAATCAGTGCAAAGGATGACCTTGATGAAGAGGCAAAGTTTTCCAAAATTTTGATGTTTCGTTAAAGTTCTGAATTACAGCAGTCAACAAAGCAGTTTTCTTTGTTTAATCCAAAGTTAACACATGGCACTAAAATCTCAATCTACTAGATATAATGTTGATATTCATATAATTTGCAGAAGAAATGTGAAATTATTCTATATGCAATATTTAAAGTGTTGAATAAATTTTGTCTGCTCCTATTATATGTTATTATAATGATAATCTTGCTAGTATCTTGAAAACTAAGGCTCCCTGCCTGTTCCTGAATGCTTAACAGTGTTATTGTATCTTAATCAATAATTAAGATACAATAACACGCTGAACAAATATGAATTTAAAAATCAAACAACAAAAATCAGCCAAATGAAATTTGAAATTTACCAAATGAACAGCCTCAGCTGCAAAAGTGCAAATGAACGACATTAGATATAATGATAGGATTAAGAAAGCCTCGACAGGATGTTTGCCTTCCACCACACTTCAAATCATGTCATCTGACTAAACAAAAGTTTGCTTCATTTAATTCCTGTGTTTTCTGTGCTCTTCAAGTTTGCTCCTCCAAACTATCTCTTGATGAAGAACTAAATTATTTAAAAGCAATAGCTATTGACAGGGGCTTTTCACCCAACTTTATTAATCAAGCAGCTAAAAATTCTCATCTCGACACACCAAAAGGCACACTGTTGTTTTAGGAGATTTTAAAAATTCTGTTGCCATTCCCTTCTTTCCATAAATTAGCTATAAAGTTGCACGTATTTTGCAGAAATTTAATTTTCGGGTTGTTTATTCTCTCATCAATAAAGTTCCGAGTTCCATACTCAAGAACCCCATTCCGGATATGAATTCCTGGGGTATTTACAGGATTCCTTGCCAGTGTGGTTTAATTTACATTGGCCAAAATAAGAGAGCCTTAAAATTTCGTGTTAAGAAACATGAGGCATATGTTAGAAAAAAAGAAACACAAAAGTCTTCTGTTGCCCAACATTGTTTGTCCGAAAATCACACTTTCAATTTTTCTGCTGACAAAATTATTCAAAAAATATCTTCCATTGGAGAGAACTGGATTTTCTAGAGGCATTTCACATTTAAAAAAATTCTTTCTTTTCTAGTTTCATTCCAAAGATTCAAAGATGGATATCTTTGCCTTCAGCCTTTAAAGAAATTAAGTTTTATTTCTGGTTTCATCAACAGATGGCGCCAGTAGCTTATCTCCTGTCCAGGCTTTCTTATCTTATCATTATATTTTATCTCGTTCATTCGCACTTTTGCATCTGAGATAATGGTTCGGTAAAACTGTCGAAACTAGTCCTTTGAAAATTTGAAAATATAACGCTGATTTTTGTTGTTTGACTTCTAAATTAAGCCCTCTGAATATCTGAAATAATCCCAAGAGGATGGTTTTGACTTCTTTCTGAAGAATTGTTATTAATGATTACTTTTTACTACAAAATGACATGAGGATTTGTTTTCATGACTCATTTTACATCTTAAATCATATATACAATATAAGTGGTGAAACTGTTGTGCTCTTGAGTGATTATTAGTATTGTATAGAATAGCTTATGCACAGTTTTCCGGTATGTCAATAATAGATTGTAGAATCAGTGCCAAATTCTAGAAACAAACTACAAGGCAAAGACTAGGTTGTAAATAAATAATTATCCTGACCAAGAATTTCTTATTGGTATTTTTATTAAAATTTGACAATATGACTGTATAGGCTAGCATCAAGGTAGTATGCATTGTTATAAATGCTTCATTGTTGTATATGATGTAGAACTATAAGCCGAGAAGCAATGTTTATGCTCAAAATTGTCGAATGATGAAAGTGGAGATTAAGACAGTGTGTTTTAGAATGCAGAAATGAGATGAATATCAATAATCTTTATGTTCACAGGTAAGACAAGATTTAGCATAGAGCTGAGGAAAACATTTCTTATTTAGCATGAGAGAACTAACATGTCGTAGTTATTTTCAAAGAGCAGATTTCAGGGGGGGAGAGGAGGAGTTTTAGTCAGGGCCAGCATAAATTTTGGTGATCAATCTGGCCTTTGTTTTATCAAAAGTGATACATTTGATAGTAGGGCAGCAAAATAAATCCTTTGACCTTTTCTCACATATTCTATGACTATAGTTGGGAATTCATTTCTTATTCATATGCATTCACACAAAGCACAAGGGTTACATTTGTGAATGTAGGGATTCGCCTGCTGCTAAATATGATTGGTTGTAGTTGATACATAAGGGAAGACCAACTGCTGTCCAGTGGCTGTCTCCACAATCCCACAACCTCTGTCTGTTCGGTGAATGTGTCTATAGTTACAATGGATTGTCTTATAGCTGTTACTCTCCTTTGAAGTAATCCCCATTGGTGTTAATGAACATCTGGAAACTGCTGTAAGAGTCGCGGAAACTCCTGGCATAGTCATCTTTAAGAATTGCTTTCAGCTAGGTTGTAACCTTACATTTGATGTCTGAAATGTTCAAAAACCTCTGGCCTTTTAGGGCGGATTTTAACTTGGCAACAACAAAAAGTCCGGGAGACACAAATGTGGGGGGTAAGGTGGTTAATTCAGGTACACCGCTCCCCTATTGGCCAGGAACTGCTGCACCAGAAAGAGAATGTGTGTGGACAGGCATTGTTGGGGTGTGTGTCTAGTTGCCTTGCTTGGCATACTGGGGGTGATACCCGCCTGATCCATTGCAGCAGACTTTTCAGTATTTCTATGCATGTACCAGCATTTAACATGGTGCCATTTAACATGGAGGAATTGTTTATGAATGAGACCTCAGACTCAAAGAACTCCTATCAGCATTTTAGTGGTATGGTATTTCTCACTTCACACCTTCTTCCTTTTTGGCGACCCTGGACCCACCATTCCATACGCTAATGCTTGCCTTGGGTTGTGGTCACTTGTTGACCACAAATTTTTTCACTTTCTGTACGATGTCCGGGGTGCATGAAGTTGCAGTCTGAACACTTTGGAGGGAGGTGTGGTGTCCCATTCTTCTCACAAGCATTTAAGCACTCGTGCACTTCAAACTGACAGCACATTCTTTATGAACTGTTATCAGCATTTCATGAGTTTCATTCAGTGATTTTCCAAGTTTGAAACAGAACAGCATATTTGTTCATAGATCCATTTTGAGTTCCGACCACATGTGAAAGACCATTTTATAATGAGCTGTTTGTGCATGATAAACATGCTCGTTGTGCCACCGCTTGGGAGCTGGTCCAGACCAATCTTGACATGGCTAACACAGGATGTGCCGGTTGCATATTATTGTGACTATGAGCACTATGACATCATTCACCGAACTTTTTTAACACAGGTTGTATTAGCACATTGCTTACAAAATCTATTTTGAAGAAATCTGGTGTGGCTATTAACCTGTTTTATTCAGTTTGTTTATAAATTTTCAGAACTATTGTTCTCATCTGTAACTGGGAAGTTAAAAAAAGTTGGGGTTAAAAAACGTGGTACCCCCCCCCCAAAAAAAAAATTTCATTACTTGGAGAAAAGCTATTCCATAAAAAAAGGGACCATGACCAACAAGGGTATGCTATATCTGCATCAAGGTGGTTGAAGAAAGCTACATGCTAGCTGTTCATCATTAGACATTTAAAAGTCTCTCAGTCTAATTTAATTAGTCAAGGAAAATTAACAATGATTATAAGTAATTGTTTCAAATTAAATGAAATCTAGGTACATGAAAATGTGTATATGTTTACTATAAAACAAATGTATACGTGGTACAACCTAGAAGACCAATGAAAATTTCAATGGTATGTTTTGCAAATTATACCTAAAGACACTTCCTGAGGCTCCCGATTTTTTTAAAGTCAGTGTAATTTTATTTAACAATATATTTTGTAGTCATACCTCTACACCATATAGTTGCCATAGTAAGTCATGTTAGTGACATTTTTGTTGGCTTCACTTTTGTAACATTGTGCTTATTCCATCTATTCTAATCTCCTTGCTTACACTGCATAAAAGACATCATCAATCATATTTACTTAACTTTTCCTGAAACTAACCCCATGAACAATGTTGCAATGTTATGTGGACTTCACTACCGTGTCCTGAAGCATTATCAGGAATTAGGAGAAGGTTATCAGATTTTGCTGTTATGAGTAATACTTGACTACTTTAATGAATGCATTTTCAAACCAGTCATTAAAGAGGAGTATTGCAACACAGGCAATACTCTACAGCATACTGCATTACTGCATATAATTGAAATTCTTGTGTTGGACAAATTAAATAGAGACAATTAGGATAGTGCGTGTATATGCAAAATCTCATTGTGCAAGCATATCCTGTATTTTTGCCCAGCATGTGAACAAAGCCTCCTTTGTGTGTGGAAAACTGTTTTAAAGCATAATCATAATTAAAATTTACTCTTATGGTGTTTAGTTTCTTTTTTAATATTTTGGAAATCTTGTATAAAGTTAAATAAATCCTATTTGTAATGCATTCTTATTGAAACTGAACCTTATGCCCAATCCACAAAATTCCCATGCATTTACAGTGTATTAACTCAGAGTAGTCACTGAGAAACTATTGTCGAGAACTCATGAGGGTCATCTATCAGACTTTCGGTGATCATTTATTTCATGGATGGAATTCATTGTGGTGAAAGAATGTGCCATTTATCACACCACAGAAACTCCTGGATAATCTTATTTTACAAAATCAATACAGGTCTGCTACTACTATAAGAGTTCATATGGATCCTACATATAGCTTAGACATTTCTTCTGCCTTTTTTATGCTAGAAGTGTTTAATTTGACTTTATAGAACTCTCGGTTAAACATAAATTGAAATAATTTTCGGTAGCAAACTTTATCATTCATGCACTGAACTATTGCATACTTCATTATCTCTTTGATATTGAGTATAGATTTCTAAACTATAATGTTTGCCAAAGCTATGACAGTCACTGAGAGCAGGTGGATTTCTCTTCTTAGAGCATGCATTCTGTCATATCTCAAATTCAGTTTCCTTCTTTCAACTTATATACATAAATATATAAAACATTCTTTTATACACAGTGATCTATTAAGTGAAGCATATATTGTGTGCTAAATACTCCAATGTATAAAACACTGAATTTATTTAGAAAAGTGAATACTTGTATTTTTTATATTTAATGTTTTTTTTTTAAATCTTTTTATTTATTTTTTTTATTTTTTAGACCACCTGATTGTTATAACACAGATACTTTAAGAGCATTAGTTCAGAAAGGTAAGGATCTTTAAATAAAGCTTCAAGGGAAACTGCTGCTTCTTTTCTTCATGAATTTTGATTGGTTCATTAAATGCTGTCTTTTATCATTGCTATTTTTTTCTTTTTTCAGGAGTTATATATGGTTTTATGTAATCAAACTATGTAATAATAGCCACTGTTTAAATAATGTAATCAAACTATGTAATAATAGCCACTGTTTAAATAAGCTATTCACGAAGTAGATGGATTTTTAGGTATGAAAAGAGGCATGCTGTTGATTATTTTATATTACAGCTATCCTTGTGTTATATGTAGAATGAATATGATAGAAATGAGCAGATATTCCCAAAATTGATTGAGATGAATGTGAAAGTTGTAGCTGATCTGACAGAATTTTGAATCGCTGTGCATGGTGATCCATGCATAGTGATCCATACTTCTGGAAAGAAGGGTCCTGGTAGTTGAAGCATAAGGTATCTATCTAGGAGAAACTTCTTTCCTATAGATACATACTATGAAACTAGAAAGAAAAATTGCTGAAAAAGTATAGCTTAGAAATGGCATTGAGGAATAGTATAAGATATTTCACAACTGAGAAGTGTTTCATTAAGAAATTGGTAATTAAGTAAAGCAACAACCTTGTGTTTGGTGTTGATTTTAGTCAAGACCCAAGACTGAATCATGACTGGAACCTACGCCAAACACAAGTTTATTGCTTTGCCTAATTTTATGTTTTACTTTACCGTATTTCTTTTCTTATACAAATTGATGACTTTCAAAGGATGGTTATGTCCTTAATAAATGTGGGAGAGTTTTAGGCTGTAATATATTGTATATCATAAATCTGCGTACATATATTTCTATATACATATTTACATATTTACAAGTTGATATAGAATGACAGGGGTTTGGAGTTGCAGGAAGATAGTGAGCAGTCTCTAATACGATCACTCACCATTCTAGATGATTTTGATCGTTTGTAGAACTGGTTGCTTTGAAGAACCTGTTTATGATATTTCATATTGCTTCTAAACAGTCTTTGAAATACTAGTTCCTTTCAGAGCTGTGAAATGTTTAACTGTAATTTAGAAAATGTATATTATTTAAAGTTAACTAAACATACACATTAAAATGTTGTAATGATCCAGTTTCATTAAATTTATTTTTGTTATGTAAAATATATTTATTATCTCAATAAGTTATCTATCTAATTTGAAAGGTCTGTAAAACTCCATTAAATAATTTATTCACTTTACTTGAGATATTTCTATTTAATATATATATATTAATTATGTGACCTTAAAAGTTGTGTCTCATTTTAAAACAAGGGTTTCTTCCAATTTTATTGAATTAATATTTAGATTTATTGAATCTTCAATAATGAAATTTCACAGACTAAATGGTTACAAAATCTAGCTAGATTTGATTTATAAGTATTTAAAATATACATTTATTGCTTTTTTGAAGAAAGATAATTTTTAATTTGCAATTCAACAATTTCTAGCTATTTAATTTAATAATTTTTAATTTGCAATTCAACAATTTCTGGCTCTCATGGGCTCAATCTTTGTAAATACGGGTATGGCAATCCCAAGGCTCAGGCTGTCTGATCATCATCTTGGTGAGGCAGGTGTCATGATCCTGTAGCTCCAGTTATCTTCTTTTCCCATTCACCTCCACTTTGATTTAACTTTTTTCGGATTTTTTTCCTTGTGGTTACCTCTTCAGAGGATGAGGCTCGTTGTGAGATGCTGTCACAACTTTCTTGTCCTTGGCTTGCCATGTTGAGAAAACTGCATACATGTTTGCCGTGCATGGTGATCCATACTTCTGGAAAGAAGGGTCCTGGTAGTTGAAGGGTGAGGTATTGTGATAGGTGTGGCTGTCATGTCCGAATTTCTCGTAGTTTTAAGCATGGATACTAAAACTAATTTTGAAATTCAACGGCCAAGGATACCAAGAACCGAATCAGTAGGAAGTGTATCAGACCAGTCTTCTCATTTTCTTGTCATTACCAGACCATCAAGTGTTTTACAAAAACCGTCACCTGTAACCTCTACAAATGATATGCAATTGTTTTGTTTCTGAAACATTTTGTAGACTGGAATGGCAACAGTAAAAAAATAATATATTAGAATAATGTTGTTTTAGAAACTGGATGTCTTATATGTATTAAAATCACTTTCATTAAAATGTAGTACTGATAATTCTTAAACACATAAATAGCATTTCTCTGATGTAGCAGCTACTGCATTTATTGGTGACCTGAATGTGATGAACATTTCTCATTCAAAAGTGTTTACAGGCCTGTGAAACAACAGGCCTTGAACAAAAGAAAAATTTTTTCTGGTGACCTGCTTGTGGAAACATCAAATTCTAAACCTTCGTCACTTTTTCTAAAAATGGCTTGTATTAGTCAGGATAGTAAAAGTCTCTAGACATAAAACCCTCAGAAGAAATTCTCACTGAATAATTAGATCAGAATAGGTGCTGTCAGACAAACCAAAATACGAAACGAAGCTCAATTGATTAACACAAAGCATGTGATCTTGACCTTCACCTCCTGTGATTTGTCAGTGTTTTGCACATAATAAAGTGTTCTGTCATGGCAACATCACTTTGCTCATTGCTATGTAGTTGGCTATAAAAGTGAAAATTGTAATAATGCTTTGTGCAAGTTTTGTCAAAACTACCACCAGGTCACTTGCGACAAAAACAGCATTAAGTGGGTCCTAGCTGATATTTCAGTTGGAGTTTTTTTTTAATGACATTGCAATTGTGACATATATTTTGGCCACTGTCTTCAAAGCATTAATTTGTTGTAATTTAATTTTGCACCTCTTGTTATTTGGCTAAACCTCGGGTTGACTCTGATTAGACATGCACATAAAACATATCTAATACAAATGTGTACAAAAAAAAAAAAAAAAAAAAAAAAAATTCTTTGTTGTGACTTATTTAACTTGTCTGGGAGTAACTCCAGAACAACAAAATTCATTGTTGTAAGTGCAAGATTGCACCTGTCATTGGCAAAAGCCTTGAGCACCGTACCAGTTGTTTAAAAACATTTGCCTAAACTTCTCTTGTAAAAAATATCAGCACTGAAAGTAGACTGAATATCTATTTCAATTTCACTGAAGAATTTTTGCACAAATTTGAAAGTACAACTTCGCTCAGTTCTGCACACAAGTTTGATAAAGAGCACTCCAGGGCAACAGGTTTGAAGGTCTCTTACCCCTCTTCCCTACCACCAGTTTCATGGGAGGACTTCCGGCTTGCCGCATATTTTAAAGTGCACAGACACTATGCATTTACAAATATTCATGCCATCTCCAGGATGTGAACCCAGGCCCTTTGCTATAGCAAGTCAGCATCGCTAACCTGTGCCCAATTGGGTGGCACAAAAATGTCTTTTTAAGGCTAAACATTTGTACAAAATTTCAGAGAAAAGCCTTATAAGACGGTTTTAAGTAATACAGTACAAAGTCCAAAATCCGGACGTCCATTATCTGGAATGATCTAAAATCAGGACCTCAAAACCACTACCAGCGTCTCTTCTCATAGGCTTTACGCATGTGCATTTTATTCCCTCCCTCCGCACATAATAAAACATCCAGAGAGTCCCAATTCTTAATTTCACTTTGACACTAAATAAAACATCTTGTTATTGAAGAAACAATCATTTTAGCATAAATTTGTGTCATCAATAACTTGGCTCTGTAGCTGCCACATTGCCTGCTTGGCTTACATCTGAAACTGAAACACTTTACATGGATACATCGTTGAATTTACACTTACTCTTTTTATTTATCTCTGACGCCAAGCTTCTGAATCATTATTTATTATATTTTGCTTTCATCACTGCATGTTTATCAACACAAGACAACTTGAGTAATGACTCATGTAGTGATGCTTAAACATTTTTTTTTTATATTAGTAATTGAATAACGAAGAGTATGGTAACCTTGTATGTTGACATTATGCTTGGCGATGATTACAGATTTAAGTTAAATGTGCTGAGAAATGTTGACGAGAAAAAATTTATTTCCATATGCTAAAAATGAATTTTATTTTATGATACTCATAGGCCAAAAGATTACATTTAGTGCTCTTTGAATTACGAATAATTAATTTCTTATTCACATAAACCCAGAAACGGGCAGCAGAATTTAGGGAAAACAAAGGAAGATGCTTGGTAGCAGAATTCATGACCCGCAAAGACTGCATTGGCTAGTAAGATATCTAGCGCCGGCCCTCCATAAGCCTTAAGTATATGCGGGAATTTGTATATTCGTCACTTAGATAAGCTTTAAGCATGTGCAAGAAATAGACATAAGTATAATAAATAACTAAACTAATACATTTCAGTGCATATTTTAGTGCACTATAGAAGCAAGATAAAATTTAATGGAACAACTTGTCATTAGTAGCCAAGCTCGTGATGCATAGCCAAATATGTATAGTGAAGTATAGCTAAATTCGATGATGATAGCCACTAATTTTAAAAGTTTTCGGATATAGCAAAACAAAGGTCAAATTTCTAATTAACAGATTTTGTAAAGAAATGTGGAGAAGCAGTAATAAATGAAGATGATATAAAAGAAGTTTTTCGTTGTAATTACAATGCCTCTCAATCATTAGTCAATTAATGAATGGCAAAATATGTAGTATGGTTCTAAATCCAGAAAATACCACGACCGATAGTGAAGAAAGTGACAGGGAATTTACTGAAAATGAGAAAATTTCAACTGACAAGTTAATCGGTATTCTCGAAACAGTAGTTACAGGATTTAAAGAGTGTAACTGAACAAGAGATTATGCCTGTCTACAAAATTAAGGAGAAAGTATTAGCACAAAAAAATGAAGCAACTTAAACAACTTACATTGAAAGAAATGCTAATAAGGTAAACAAATAAATAGTAAGATTTTGGGGGGGGTTGTAAATTTTGATACCCTTTAGATCATAAATACTTCATTATTTCATAAATAAAAATTTCATATTTTTCATTTTATAATTTCTACATGCCATCTTACTAGATTTAAGCTGATGATCTAATATCTTGAAAAGTTCCAAATCCAGAATCGCTGAAACTCCGACGAGTCCGTATTTCGGACTTTGTACCAATGAATTTCCAATGATTCTTATTTGGAAAAGCTTATGAAAAGCTTTTAGTGGGTCTTGTGAATTTTCAGGAAAACATTCATTGTGTATGTAAAACAGCTGATTGCCGTAGGCCTCTTTATATTTTCTCTGAAAGTAAATGTCTAAGTAGTTCAGCTTCTAAGAAAAACGAGCTAGAAATGTTAACACAATCCATGCTTTTTGTAATGGCCATTCTATTACACTGACTAGTATGAAAGGCTTACAACTGATGAGAGTCTATATTAGGTCAGTATTCATAATAACTATCATTCGCTATAATGTAGCTTTTCTTCTATGCGATGCAAGAAGTTCAAATATACAGTGGATGGACAAAAATATGGAAACACCTTGTGAAATACATGTTTGAAAAGAAAGATTGATTTTAATGAAATATGTAGGTGGCGCTGGCGTTTTTGACTACTGACGCCACCTATACAACTTCGTAAATGTGCTAAACAGTTCAGTTGTTGTCGGAAGAAGTACTGTTATGTGAGAGTTGTCATTGCATTACGTCAGAGTTAACAGAGACTTCGAACGTGGGCAAATGTTGGAGCACGTATGGTAGGTGCTTCCGTAAGCAAGGTAGCCGAGGGGTTTAGTGTTTTTTCAAGAGGTACTGTATCGAAGATTATTCCGAATATTTGAAAAGCGGAAAAAAAAAAACATCATCTTCTAAATCACAGCGCGGACGACGAAAGTGTGTCCTGAGTGATCGTTACAGACGATCATTAAGGGCAATTGTGATGAAAAATAAAGAAGACCACAGTTGCAAAAGTTACTGCTGAAAATGAATGTTTGTGTTACCGAACCCTGTGAGTACCAAACCAATTAGAAGGGAGCTTCATAAACAGGGAATTGCTGGCCGTGCTGCAATTGAGAAGCCACTCATCAGGGATGCTAATGCCCGTAACAGGAAAAGGTTGTGTTTAAGTCATAAAAGCCTGGACTATAGAGCAGTGGAAGCGAGTAAAGGAAGTGTTAGTAGTAATATGGTCTGACGAGTCTTCTTTCACATTGTTTCGCACTTCTGGCCGAGTTTACGTCTGGAGAACGCCATCTCAAGCCTATAATACAGACTGTTGTTGCCAAGAGTGAAACATGGCGGGGGTTCTGTTATGGTTTGGGCAGCCATATCGTAGTTCTCTGCTAGCCCCATGATAACTGTGTCAGGGCACATGACTGCCAAGACTCATGTGAACATTTTGGCTGATCAAGTTCATCCCATGGTACAAACTTTGTTCCTCGATGGTGATGGTGTCTTCCAAGACGACAAAGCCCCTGTTCACACAGCTCACATTGTCCAGGACTGGTTTTCGGAGCACGAGGATGAGTTGTCCCATCTCCCCTGGCCACCACAGTCACCAGACCTGAATATTATCGAACCTTTGTGGTCTACATTGTAACGGAAAGTGCGTTCTCGTTATCCACCGCCAACATCGTTATCTGAACTTGCTACCATTTTGCAGGAAGAATGGTATAATATTCCCTTGGCAAACATACAGGAACTGTATTTATCCATTCCGAGCAGACTGCAAGCTGTTTTGGATGCCAACGGGTTTCCTACACCATATTAAGCAAAGAAACATGTTTTTTTAAAGGTGTTTCCATATTTTTGTCCAACCCCTGTATTTACATCAATACCTTATGAATCATATTGAATAAAATTTCATTATCAGTTTGAAAAATTAATTAAGCAAAGAGACTCAGGTATTTTCTCCTAAAATTATATACACAAAAATTAGTTTTGAAATTAATTTGCATCAGAAGAATTATAAGCCATTCAAGACTGACAAACATAGAAAAAAAAAAAAAAAAAAAAAAAAAAAAAATGTGAAAAATTTGTAAAAGTAGGAAACATGAATATAAAGAAGAGAGGTATCAATCCTTTTTAAAGATTTTTTTGGATTGAACCATTATCATAAGATATATGTTAAAAAAAAATGTGTTGCAATGTTTTAAAATGAAAACTGGTGTGAAGTCGACAGTGCCCAAAAGTAATAACCTTAACAAACTCGCTGTTTTCTCATTTATGAGAAAATCAGACATTTGTCTGCAATATAAAATCATTTCCTAAATCTGGGAAATTTCAATGAACTTCAGGTGTCCTGACTAATGTACCTTCATTTTTTTTTTTTTTTTTGTTTGTCAAATACTCGCTTCAAGAAATTCAGAACTTGTTCTCACAATAAACCCATAGTTGAAGTTTGGGTATATGCAGCACTAAATTCTTCATCTGCTTCCAAAGACCCCTGTCTGCATCATATATATATATATATATATGAGGCAGGTGGAAGGCCCTTAAAAACTTAAAAGAAGATTGATTCTTATGTATATATGTGTGTGTGTGTATGTGTCTTCTTTTAAATTTAAACATGTAAATGTAGTTTAGCAGTGCATTCAAAGGCTCTGTAAGCCTTCAGGCTCCTATGTGATGGCATTCCTTGTATACCCTTATTTACGCCACTTTGTATATACTGTGCACTTTCTTTCATTTTCAAGTGCTGTTGGAGAAAATTTATTATTATACAGGCTTATTCAATGCACTGAAAGGATGCGCAGAATACTCTAGTTGTTGAAGTTCCGAAATTAATGAAATTCTTTACTGCTGGATCCCTCCCATGTAGGGATAAAAGGTAATGTTCTGGTAGATGCTACATCAGAGTCTGCTGTTGAATAGTGCTCTCCAGGCAGCTGATTCTGCTCAGAGATATCAGCGTTGTCATCAAGCAGAAGATCATGTTTAAATGTGGTTACATATAATTTACATATAATTACCTTTTAAAAGGTGTGAGTGAACCTGTTGTAAGTGTAATCCTGGTTTTTTTTTTTTTTTTTTTTGTGTGTGTGTGTGTGTGTGTGTGTGTGTGAGTGTGTGTGTGTGTGTGAGTGAGTGAGTGAGTGATAGTTATGTTCTGATTCATTTTTAGCTTCTCATAATATCAGTAAATGTCCATCACTGCATTATTTTACCTGATTTCAGAATTTGATTCATTAAAAAAAAAAAAAAAAAAAAAAAAAAAAGATAGGGTTATTTAACCTTATGTTTTGCAAATTTTAACCTTTGAGGTTGTGCACACTTTGAGGTTTACTGATCAACTAGCAATTTCTTATTATAGTTTCTTGAAATATTTTGAAACTTTAAATGTTATCATAAGTAATTTAATCATGTACTTTGTTTTACAGTTGCTAGTCAAGCTCCAAATCGACCTTTGCCTCCTACGCCTGATGATGAAGATGCAAAAGCTTTATATCACAAAGTAAGTGTTATGATTTTTATAACTTATTCACATGCCTTGTAGCTGTAGAAAGGGATACAAAACTTTTATCATTTTGGAGTAGTATTTGTGGTCTGTTTGTCTGTCTCAAGGCCTACTAATAGCCTAGTGGCTTTCATTTAAGTCTAGATGGCTTTCAAACTGCTATTTTAGTAACCTGATGCTCAGTGTCCTCTTGTGAAGACAATGAAAGTTAATCACATGCAGGAATTTGTGTATGACTTTGGAATGAAATTATTGGTGAATCAGAAAGGGAATGGCTTAATTATTGTGTATCACACTGGATTGAAAGCCTTGGAAGATCCACATGTCCTTCCAAACACTGTGAAAGAGAGGTAGATTCAGTATGTGAAGTAAAAAATTCACTCACTGACACCATACTCTTGCATTTGGTCTAATTGTTTCCAGAAACTCCAAAGAATTTTCACTCTAAACATGACTTTGCCTATTAAAACAAGCATTCTACCAACAATTTATTGAAAAGTGTTATTAAATTGATTTATTCAAACTGGTTCACTTGCTTTAATGTTTGTTTGAATATATGCTCAATTTCAAGAGTTTGCTTTGTTTCTAGAAGCACATGCAAACAAGTATGAAACCAGCAATTTAACATATGAACTGTAGATAACACATCTGTAACAGCAAAGGGTTTTAAGAAAGCTAAACAAAAGCATTGCTAATATCTATGCAAATGTTTTTTTTTTTAATCCACATTTAAGTTTACAAACTCACTTTCCCAGCAGCTCAGTAGTAAAGTTGCTAAACACTGTAAAAGTCTAGAACATAGGAAATGTTAAACACCATTCTTGACACCAATAAGATTAATATTTATTTACTTTTTTGAATGTAGAATTTTACAGACAGAAAATCAATCATTGTTCTTTTTCTTCTTGAAGTCTTAATATTGCCACTCTGGTGAAAAGAAAATTGCATGCGAGGAGATGGCCCTTCATTAATGCAAATGATGTCGCCACACCCCCCTTCACAGAGATATCGTTATACTTCATAGTCTTTCAGGTATGCAGGAAATCTCACAGCCTGGATTCAAATTATAGCCATAATCAAGCAAATAAACCAGTTCATCTGTGAACAGATCTTTCTGTTATTCTATTCGACTTTTCCACACTACAGAAAGCTCTCCCATTGTCACTTCTGGACTGAGTAAACTGTGCTTAGCACACAACTTGTGAAAGGCTCTTTTGATTGAATTTGAAGATATATTAGGAGTAGGTATGACTTATAGCCACATTTTGTTTAAACAGATTAACTCTACATGATTGTTGATGGATTTTCCAAAATCAAAATGTATATTCTTTCAAGGCTGTACCAAAAGACCTGCTTTGCTAGTTCAGCTGAACCTGCATCTAGTTCACTTTCTATTCCAGGCCATCAGACATAGGATTGAGCCAAAGACTGAAGGGCAAATATGCTTTGATGAGTTGTATGAAATCTTAGAATCTTAGTGGGATAAAAACTTTTGTATGTCTGAAAATGTTGTTTCCTTCATTTGATCATCAGAGACATATTTTTAGCACTCGAGGCATTTTTTATTTTGCACTTGAGGCTTTTTTAGCTCAGGTGAACTAGTAACTCAAGACAATATTAGCATACTTGGTGGAATTTCTTACAGCTTTCTTAAAATAATTTCACAGAAATCCAATGGTTATTTTATATTTGAAGATACTTGTAGCCCTGTGGCTTCTTTGTCAAATACAAACGGTATTCCTTAAAGTATTTTTTTGGACTCTGCATGTCATCTATTCCGATTTTTTGCCTTTTCTGGGGAATCATTCTCGCTTTCACATTCACTATTTATTACCCCGATTTTTCACCCTCTTACACCTCTTGCTTCATCGCTATCTTTACCACTGCTTTCCTTCTCCCGGTAGTCAATACCTCTTTGGAAAGATGCACTCATTGAGCTTCTCAGCATATTTTCCTAACTTAGCTAAAGCTAACTTTTTAACTTAGCTAAAGATAACACCAGTGATATCATGTACAAGCAGTTTTTCTGTGAACATAGGCCTTCAATGACTGTGTTGCAGTATATATAGATGGGTCTAAGTCCCAGGATCACATCGACTTGGCCTTCGTGTGCGAGAATACTATTGAGGGGAGAAACTTCATCTCACTTGTACCATCTTTACTGCAGAGTACTACTATTAGCCCTATCCTTCACAGGTAAACAACATGGGAAAAATTTCATTATTTACGCAGACTCACTAAGTGTGCTAAAAAGCTCTCAAATTGTGTAGTAATAATACAAATCCATTGATTGTAGAAGTGCTGAAGCTCAATATTAGCTTCATGATCAAAGGTTAACAGATTTTTTACTGCTGGGTACCAGGTCATGTTGGATAAAAAAGAGTGAACTGCTGAACATCGCTGCAAAATGTGTCTGTGGAATATCCAGCCAACCTGTCCCCTATTCAGATATTAACACTCTGATTGTGAGGAAAATTTTGAAGAAATGCAGAAGTTCTGGGATGTGCAGTTGACCAATAAATTAAGAAGTATATAACTTGAAATAAAACATTTGAAATGTGTCCTAAGCAGAAAAGAGCAGGTCCTTCTTGTAATATTTAATAATTTGTCAGTGGTAACATTTAATATTTAGTAACTTGTAATTGGCAACACTTTGGATACAGATATAAAAAATAGAACTGTGCTGGTATTGCAGTTCTCTGTGATTATACATTCTAAGATTGTAAATAAATAGTTTCTAAAAGCTAAAGTGTACCCTCATGATAATATATGGTGTCAGGAAAATTTTGCTTTCAAAATGGAAAGTTTAAAACCACCAGAGTCGATGAAATTTGATGGAAATCTAGCTTCGAATTGGCAGAGATGGCTGCAATCATTTGAAATATATGAAGTAGCTAGTGGATTACATAATAAAGAAGAGAAGGTAAGAGTTAATACTTTTCTTCATGTAGTAGGAATTCGTGGTATTGAAATATATAATACATTTCCTATAGAAGAGGGTAAAGAAATTAAGTGAAATTAAAACAAAATTTACAGAATATTGTATAATGTTTTTTTTAAGAAAAAAAATTACATATGAAAGACATTTATTCTTTACTAGAAATCAAACCGCGTCAGAAACCATAGATGAATACGTAACTGACCTTCGAAATAAAGCTAGAACATGCGAGTTTGCACAATTAAAGGATAGTTTAATAAAGGATAAAATTGTTTGTGGTATTAAAGATGATGTAGAGAGAGCAAGATTGATACATGAAACATAATTAACATTAGAAAAAGCTCTTGATATATGCAGATCTGCTGAAATAAGTGCACATCAAATGAAAATCATAAAAGATGAGGAAACTGCTTTAAACTTGGTGAAAAAGAAACTAAGTAAACATAATAAGAATACCTACAAAGAGGTAAATACCGATAAACAAAAGTTTGTTCTAAATGTGGAACATCTCATGAATATCGAATGTGTCCAGCATATGGAAAAATCTGTCATAAATGTAAAAAGGCAAATCATTTCATGAATCAGTGTAAAAGCTATATAATAAAAAATGAAGCAGTCAAGGTAAACAAAAAAAGATAGACAAATTAAATTAATAAATCATGAGTCTGAGGAAGAGTTAGAATTTTATGTTGGCACATTAAACCTTAATTCAGATAACAAGGAAGAGAAATGGACTGTTGACGTTAATGTAAATAAAAGTAAACTAAATTTGCAGTTAAATACTGGAGCAATGTGCAATGTTATTTCTAAAAGCAAAGTGAAATTGCTAAATGTTTCGATACAGAAGTAAAAGATTAGTTACATTCTCTGGGAATCAAATGCATACTTTAGGAAAAGTACAAAGACGTATATTAGGATTAAAATCATGTTTGCAACTAGGTTTGATTCAGAAAGTAATGTCTGTTTACACTAAAGTCTTACTGGAGGAATACAAAGATGTATTTGAAGGCTTAGGTTGTTTGAATGGAGAATATAAAATCCAGTTAAAACAAGATGTAACTTCAGTCATTCATCCTCCAAGAAAAATACCCATAGCTGTATGTGATAAATTTAAGAAAGAATTACAAAGAATGGAAAATTTAAATGTTATTGAGAAAGTAAGAGAACCAACTGAATAGGTAAATTCAATGGTCACAGTTGTCAAACCAAACAAAATAAGAATATATTTAGATCCTAGAGATTTAAATAAAGCTATAAAATGAGAACATTATCCGATGTTAAACTGCATTGACCGAAGTTGTCACTAGAATGCCAAAACGCAAAAATATTTTCTGTGTTAGATGCTAATAGATGCTTTTTGGCAAATCAAGCTTGACGAAGAAAGTAGTAATTTGTACACATTCAATACACCTTTTGGCAGATACAAATTTAAAAGATTACCTTTTGGCATATGTTCAGCTCCAGAAATTTGCGAAAGAAAATTAAGCCAGATAATAGAAGGTCTAGAAGGCGTTGAATGTATTATAGATGATATCTTAATATGGGGAACTAATGAAAAGGAACATGAGCTACGACTTAAAAAAGTACTCCAGAGAGCACAAGAAAATAATTTGAAGTTCAATAAGGCTAAATATAAAATAAAAGTTAATCATGTGAATTATATAGGGCACGAGTTAAATGAAAATGGACTAAAACCTGATTTTTCTAAAGTGGAAGCAATTGTTAAAAATGCCAGAACCTACAGATGTGCCTTCGCTACAAAGATTTTGGGGAATGATTAATTATTTAGCCAGATTTATTCCTAACTTAACTACTATTACTGCACCATTAAGACAGTTACTTGAGAAAAATGTTCTTTGGCACTGGACTGAAAAGCATCAAAAATCTTTCGAAACACTTAAAGAATTGATTGCAAAAGCACCCGTATTAAAATTCTATGATGTTAATAAAGATGTAACACTTTCAGTAGGTGCAAGTTCTAAAGGGGTGCTGTTTTACTACAAGAAAACCAACCAATTGCTTATGCTTCCAGAGCTCTAACAAAAAGTCAGAAAAATTA